GGGGGTTCGTAGTTACATCGTATGAGACTTTATTGAACACGATTTTGGCGATTTGAGGTTTACATATGCATGCTCAAGCTTATTTGTTGGCAAGGAATCGTTTGTTTCCGCCTAGTCAAAACGATTCTTAGGATGCCCCATGCAGATGACTTTGACAACACGCATACCGCGAACTTCGATGGGTATAAAAGGCAAAGCCAGATATCCAGCCCTTTGTGGCTTCAGAATAAGTGATCGTGTAGGGTGCGTGCTAACTGTCTGTACATCCTTTTGTAAAATATGACATTTATTTTCGAGCAGTAACGTGGGAGTTCCAGGCTTTCTTGGGTACTTCTGCAGTCTGCCATTAAGTTGATTTTCAGTCTCCACTATTGACTGAATTGGTGGATAGTAATAATTTATCTAACGGCAAAGTTTGCCACAGGTTCCATTCGACGACGCAAGTGTCGTAGTCCACGATTGTCAGCAAGTCTTCATCTAGGAATTCGAAATGACAGAATACGCCTTTTATTATGTGCGGCGCATCTCGACAGTTAATTATTCTCACGTTCACGGTCGGCTAGACTTTTGTCCACCTGGAAGGTCACCCTTCACCTCATTATTCTGACGGTTTCAGCAAACTCTTCGCCTGTACGGTCGAACTCAAATTCTTGGTCTTCCTAACGTTTATGGACAAACCGACCGATTTAGTGACCTCGTTCACCCGTGACACCCTAGACTGCAGATCACCAAAACTTGAAGCAAGTAAGGCGATATCATCGACATACTTGCTTCAAGTCGCAAAGCCCAGTGACGGCATTGCGTCATGGCGACCGTAAACCGCCATTAAATAAGTTTACTTGCCACTGCTGCCTTGTGGTTAGGCTTTAAGCCAAAGCGCTAGAGGAGACAACCTCGAACAAACAAACCGAGCGGTTATTGGGGACCCGCCCGTATTCGAAATTCTCAAGAAACCTCATGAAACCTCACGTCATGTCCGTTCACCGTCGGCTAGACTTTTGTCCACCTGGAAGGTCACCCTTCACCGCATTATTCTGCCAGTTTCAGCAAACTCTTCGCCTGTACGGTCGAACTCCAATTCTTCCGGCTTAGCCGTTCTTAGCGCGGACCACTGCAGAACGGCCCTTGTTGGCTATTTAAGATGATCTTGTTTCCAGAGGTCAGACGCCTAACCGTCCGCTTTTGGCGAAGTTGCCTCATGTTTGTTGTTTAGGAGCAATGGGCAAGATTTTCGGCGAATCTGATTCCTACTTCTTTCTTGCCAGTTGCTGTCTTGCCGCACGAATTGGCAACAGTTGTATTTAATATTGATTAGCTAGGTGGGATCCAGCGGTCGCCTCGTTCCACTTTTCCGGTTTTTCGACAGCGGAAAATCCTTTGTCCAATCATTTTGACTGCCAGTTGAAGTCATTGCTCTACGGGGAAACTGCTTCGTGGTACCGCAATTCCCCATTGCTCACGCAACCCGCGACACCACAAATTTGCCTGTATTCTACACGATAGTCCGAACGAGGACATGCTAGCATGTTGGAGGCCACTGCTGTCAATCGTGGTCCCTACACTTCGCTGACCTGCAGAAATTGTAGACACTTTGTTTCTCTGCCAAATATCGTGACGTAGACTGAAGAAGCATACCTCAAACCCGGGACTTCACCGCCTATCGCAAACCCCTGCGGATGTCAAAATAGGCATCCAATTCCCAAGTGCTTGGACCGCACGCTTTCGGCCAATGACAAAACATCACCCAACCTCTGTTCGAGTTGGCCCAGTCGGCATCATGATAGCCGCAGGAAAAAGTAGACAGTTATGGTCAGTTGTCTGAGGTCTGCTCAAATATCGTTTGAAGGCTAACAACACTAGTGCGCGATCTTCGTCAACGGTCAAAAGTATGAAATGTTATTTCCTGACAGATTAGACCCCTTGGGCCAAACTTAGTGAGTAATACGCTTTATCGCGTTTCATCCACAACCCTCACAACACATTTTTCTTGGTATTTTCGAGCAAACATTTCTCCGGTAGCTGAACTTAAACTTTTTGACATACTAGGAATGGAGAACAAAACTGGACTTCTGAAGACATTTTCAGCTGGCGAGCTGAACGTCCTACGTCCTCATATTCAACGTAAGTCGTCCAATTACATCATACCACCTATAGTGCATGCTCCTCAGCTATAGGCTTTCCGCTATTTTTTTTACTAATTTCTTAAATTAAAGAGAATCGCCCTCATTAAAGTTCCATTATTTCAGTCTTAATTGAAAAGTCCTGTGGACGATCATGCCTTCTTAAAAAAAATATCCTCCCTACCTGCTCTGGTAGTTTACCACAGAGTCAAACCCCCCTAGCTCTAATATATTTTTTCTGGTCCAGTCGACTATTCTAAAATGGTCCGCGTTTTCACATCTGCCGCGCCAAAACATCTCTCGTCTGCATGTTTGTGCGAGTCATTCCTCGGACAAAAAGCCCCCATCGTTGTTAAAAATGACAGGTGGTTCGGCTTTCTCATGTCTTCCCATTCACGAGTTTTCTAAAGATTGATAATTTTGGCTCCGTTTTGGTTGCAATGATGACATTGGTGGCACTCACACCAATCATTCAGATCCCTCGTTAGTGAGTGGAACTATAGCGGAAAGAATGACTCAACATACAGTAGGTGCGCGAACTCTGAAGTGTTAACCGAAATTTTGAAATGCTTTACCGTTTCGAAAAAATACCTAAGTAGGGCTTTAAATTTAATCGTCATGCAGCATAACTCTTTAATAAATCATTTACGTCGAGATGCTTGCTTTCGAACAAAAGTGTTTCCAGCCGCATGTAGGAACCCCATTCTGTGAAAAGTGACAACTTGAGTAGCAAACGTTTTTCCCATTGATTTTCGATACCCTTAAAATTTCAATTATATTTCATGGAAAACATGCATGAAAATATTCATTCTCTTGCGCATTTGATAGAAAGTTACGTTTTCTTCCAATCTTATACTCACGGTCGTAAAAAATCCCATAATTAGAAACTTTAAAATCGAATTATGCCCTTCGTTCTAGTACAAAATTTGGAAAAGACGTAGTTTTCTACCGAGTGGATAAAATAATGAATATTTTATGCATGTTTTCCATGAAATATAATCAAATTTGAAGGGCATCGAAAATCGATAAGAAAAATGCACGCTAATTAAGTAGTCGTTTTTCACAAAATGTGCCTTCTCTGTGGGGCTGGAAAGAATTTCGCTCGAGAGCCGGCATCCCAAGGTAACTGAATTATTGAAGAATTATGCTGTACAATGATTAATTTCAAAACCCTACTGAAGTAATCTTTTCGAAACGATAACGCACTTCCGAATATCGGTAAACACATCATGAGTTAGCAAACCTACTGTATATGTGAGTATGTTGAGCCATTCCTCCCGCCATTCCAAGTTCCTACGCCGTCTTCGCTACTTTTGCCAGTGGACTGTATCTTTGATCCCAGCCATCGAGGAAGTTCGTTTTTGGATCTACGGAGCACGCGCGTGGGCCACAGAAGATGTCTCTTGAACAGATGGTCGTGACAGCTGATCGTCTCTTGCAGTGCATCCGGGCCAGTTTAAAAAGTGCAGTCACTCACCCTTTTGTCCGAGTTGTCAGCCTCCATCATGAAATAACACATTTTGAAATACCGTCTCCTAGAAACGAGTTTTTGAGTGAGAGTTTATCTCTTTTTGAATCCGGAGTGGGTTCTGGGGGCTGAAACGCTGTTGGATACCTTAGACTTGCAGATACAGCTTACTCCAGAGGATGGCTTTAACTAATAGAGTTTGCTCAGGTTAGTTCCCGTGTTTCGTTTCGGAAGCACCTGTAACAATCAGTAGTGCTGTTGCCTAATTTGGCGGTGATTGAGTTGAGGAATAGGTAACCAGACCTGCGACAGACCATTGAACCTATGTGGAATGCAGGCTTTTCAATGGCGAATCAGTTCGACCATCACGGGCGACGATTTCCACCGTGGGAGAGCAGAGAGTCACTTCCCACACACACGCGCGGCAGAACCCAACAGCGTGAAATTTAGTGTAATGCAATGTTTATGTTACCTGCCTTTGCGAAAGGTACCTAGCAGGCCGCGACTTGGACAGTATATAAATGCCTGACACCGGCAAGTGCTTCTGCCGTGCCACTGAAATATGACGGGTTGATTGTCGCAATTGCCCCAAATGACGGAGTCAGGGCTTCACACTTTCATTGAAAATCGGCATCCCGGATGGCTGACTTCTTACATCTTCTTGTGGATGTTGTTCGTCTCAAAATTCTTTGCGTTGTACACTTCAGCTATTCGCATCTGAAGTATGCTGAAAGAAGCTTTTAGGATGGCTACACTCCGAAAACCAGACTGGGCTGACTCTTTGAACAGTGGTTGCGTGGGGTGTCTATATGGAGCTCACGGTATCCTGTAGTACCTGAGTTTGAGGGTGAAAATTTCCATCTGCCCTCCGGCCATATCCTAAGGTTTAGGAATTGTGTCGGACGGCGGCGGTTAGCCCTTATCAGATGGCCGGCAGCATTCGCCAGAGTGGCATCTGACCATTTAATCTCCAACCGATTTGCTAGTCGCCACCCGGCCTCACCAGATAGTATTGCCGTTGCATGTCCTGTGGCTAAATATTCGTCGGTCAAAAGGGCCCATTTCACCGCTAATCTTCAATGAAGACCGTTGGATTATCTGCCGCCTACAGACGTGCTGACAGGCAGATCGCGTTAGCAGGGGTTTCTGTTGAATCCAGGATCAACAGGATTAGCGAAAATGGGTTCCGCCAGGTTTTGGTAAAAGCCAGGCTGTACGGTCTCCTTTGCGGTCAAGGAGCATGGTAATTGGTTGAATTTTGCCCTAGAGTATGCGGCCGACCGTCTAAAATAGGTTTAAATACTTGGACCGGAATTACATTGTAGCATTCACTATTATTCCTGTCAAAAATGCAGATACAGTAGCGACATTGACAGATACAGAGACTATTCAAAGGTTTCTGTGCTGGAGGTCAGAACGAACTTCAGCCCAATGCCTTGGTCATTTATGTCCTTGGTAGTTTCGTTGAAATAGTTTCCTTCTCCTTAGTACACTGCTACCACTTCGTTTCTATACATCCTCCGAGTAGCTACGACCTGGTTTGTCGAGTTCGAGTCAGAACTAGGAAAATACCGCTGTTAGACCTCTCACCGGCTTGTAAGCTCTCAAAAGAGTTTTGAAAAGTCAATATTTCCGACAGATTTCCGATCGGTTTCTGTCCTCATTATCATACGCCACCACATTGCCTTAAAATTCATCCATCTTCTCCAAACTGGAAGTTCTTTGCGGTTGCAGTCAGCACTTGCTCGGTTGTCGGAAAGTGCGACCGAACCAGTCAAGGCGACTCCATTTGATCACAAAACCCGTTTGATGAGCCGTCTGTCTGTCAGGCCCCAATCATTTGTTAACCTCTGGCCTAAACGATAGGGCTTCACTCGGGCAGCGTGCAGATATGTCCTTACGTCCTCGAAGTGTTAGACCGTTTACCCTCCTAGAACAGTACTCACCTTTTATGGCTTTTTAGTATATCTGGTCGAGTTTCAGGAGCATGTTATTCATAAAAAGTCCAGATGCATGCTATATTTCCTAATAGATACGGTCAAAGTTAAGGTTATTCCTGTTTTCATTTTCGCCTCCAGAGCATTCGTTCATCGCCACCTCATCCTCTCCCTCCTCCTCGCCACTTTTTGGCGCTAAACAAACCACTCGATGCTCCTCAGCCAGTGAAATTACTCGGCACAAACCACCCGCTGCAGGGTTACATGTCCCCCGTTATCACCGCAGTCGGTGTCGTAAATCTATTTGCAGCAGCGGCGGCCCCAGCAATAGTAGCCCCCTGCGAGTAGGCTCCGATACTTCCCACTCCTCTCCACCCTCCACTGCCTTTTCTCCTACATGGCCCATGCAGTTGCATAGTACTGGGTCGGAGTCCCCGCCGCCTTTTCCTCCGCCTCCTGCACCAAGGACCGTTCGACGAGAACTGGCTGCTGAAGAGTCCCTGGCCAACCTCCGAGCGTCCGACCTTGGCTACTGTCGTTTGGATGAGGCCTCATGCCAAGAAGGTGAGCCGGTGACTCATTTCTTTTCTCTCCGTCTCTAAGGTCTCTTGGACGTTGTATAACTTTATCTTCTCGTAAGGTATAGTACCTTTTTCGGTCCTGATCAAAGAGGACGTACTTAGTTACATTTTCCCTTCATTCCTGCCGCTTCCACATAGTCAGCGTGTTCAGCGTTGCGTTTTCAGCTGATAGTTGAAACCAGACCCAACGGCCTGCCCAGTGGGATGGTTTAACCCTCTTAAGGACCGGTTGTGTATAGCCACCTCTGTTGACTGTTTTTCGTCTCCCGTGCTACCCCACACCATCACAGTCTTTTTACATAGCCTTTATACACCCCTCTTTCAGGGAGGGGAGGTGGTAGTCCGGGGACAGCGGTGTCTTGAAGACAAAACCCAAACAGAAAATGACGATGATGTTAATTACATATAGACCACACGAAAGTCCAGAATTAGGGTCAGTGCTGATTCCACCGGCTGCAGCGTTGGGCGGGAGCTGTAGTTGATGAGAGATGACATTCAGCATGTTGTAATTTGTCTGCGTTTTGTGGCCTTCTGTGGGAATCCGATTTGCCATGTCAGTGTGCAACCACGCCTGAAGGTGTTTGCCACTCTGTGATCGACCACCGTTTATTCCCAAGACCCCAAAGCCTGCCCACTATCCGCCCCACGTGAGGACTGGCCAGTAGACTGCTAATAGGCGGACGCCGTCTCCTCGATGCTCCCGCCACGCCGGACACGAGGTGATGACACAACAATTAGCATGCCTGGAATTTATGACCGGCCGGTTTTCTCTACCTTAATTTACACTTACTTCCACCGTCATTATTACCTTGTCAGCAGACTTGAAGAACCCTAAGTCTTCTGGTAGGGTGATCCAAAGATAAAAGGACTAAATAGCCCTAGAAGTTAGCGTGACTTACTGAGTGGTATTTCGAGAGAGACGCTTTTGTTAGCGTCAGGGTCGGCGGGTTTTCGCTGCAAGCAAGCACTGCGCTGAGTAACGACGGGGACGATGATGATGGTTGTGGTAATAGTGATGATGGTTACGACCATGCTGTCGTTGGTGGTGATGATGCATTTTATGGTGAATCATGAAATGTCAGTCAAACAGAATTCTCGTCTCAGTGACCAATTCTCCTTCAGCTTGACTTCTATTTGGAACGAATCTTCACATGCATTGGAAAATTGCTTGCTATGCAATCCGGCATACCGTTCACGTAGGGGATGCGTGCGATGATATTATTCGGTTAGTCAGTTTCTTTACCTATATTCAGAGAAACTGCCTCTCGTTATCGCTCTAGACTCTGTTGAAATATGCAACTGTTTATGGAAGTATAAGGACTCAGAGTGACATTTACTCTACAGAAGTTTGGCACGCCTATACTATTTTCCTGCGTCTTCTGAATCAACCGAATCTTAGTGTTTCAAAGTAAGGTTTCCAGTTAATGACAATGAACGTTGTAGGGGTTTGTTTAGCAGTTTATTCAGATTGAAAGTGTGGTGTACTAAGGAGAAGTTTTCCCGTTAGCCCAGCTGCTGAGTACTCGACATGTGCACGTATGACAGATAGTGAATCGGTCTTTAGTGAAAGCAAGCTCTCCGGCTATCCAATGACAGTTTTGCCAGGACGCTGAGATCTACTGTTTCGCATGCCGGTTGCTCTAAAATACCCCCAAAGCCCGATGACGACACTGTTACACGGCTACCGTTAAATAAGTTTACTTGCCACTGTTGCCTCACCGCGAAAAACCCACCTGGACCACTGCTGTTGATTCGCCTGTACTCGCACTTCTTAAGAAACCCTATGAGAAACCCCCGATTTCAGTAATGCGATCTATACTGCAGCGTCCACACGATACAACCGGGTCACGGAACCATTGTCCAGTGGTGTGATCTGGACTACTTAATCAGAAACGATCACTGGGTACTGGATGCGGATGCTCCTCGACACCGACACATGAGGTCCGACAGGGCACAGTCATTTTCAGCGTGAAGTGGGTGTCAGCAATGTGCATGAACTCTGATTTGTAGACTTAGCTTCGGAAAATCAAGACCCCTGGAGATTGACGGCCCATACGACTTCTCCGGTAGACACGATGTGACGATTGCCAGCGCAACAGGCGAACCATGCGCGGGGACCAGCCGATGATGGACCAGCTTACGTGCGACCAAAAAGCGCCTTGCGAATGTCGGTGCATTTTCTATCTGGTTGCCACCAAAAATGCAGGAAATGGTTGCAAGACCGCGAACGGTTTATTGCTGTCTGTGGCTAAAATGACCAGCCTGAATCAGGTGACTGTTCAAAAAAGCCGCCTGAAAGTTCGCCTCTCTTCTGCACCTAAAATATTTCGCGCAAGGCAATTCAATGTCGCAAAATTACGACAACCAAACACAGTCGAGACTTACAGCGCGGAAATTTGTTCTTACTATGCATCAGACTATGTAGCAGACGACCGACGACTTTACTACTCACACTTCCGGCTTCGTTCGAGCGCCAGTACTAGTCCTTCTGGTGTTTTTCAGGCAACGGTATAGAGAATGACCCCACTTTACTGTCGGTAGACTGTGGATCCTGTCACGCGTGATTGGTGATAAGGGGACTTTTATGGGGGAGCCAGCAAACTAGACAGTAAGTTGAAAAATGCAGGAAAATGCAGAAACCATTCGGATTTCTCCCGAAAGACTCATCGTACGCTTTCGTACGACAACGGAAATGAGCGCGGTAACTAAAAATAAACAAAAAGTAAACTCCAAGAAATAAAGAAGTTTGAGTGATGGTTTGAAGTTATGGCAAGTGTAATGTTTGCAAAGGCCTGCGAATGAATGCCAAGATAAGAGCCCGTATGACGTGATCCACAGTCCGCCATCCGTTAAGCGGGGTCCTTCTCCATACCGTTACCGTTTTTCAATCTTTGCAGCCGAAAAATCATCACATTACTATCCTCTACGGCAAAGTTTCATCCTTCTCTGCCCCATGGAGCAAAAAATACGACCGTAAGCCCGACGTTGCACAGCAACAAGACGTCCTGAGAGGGCGGTGTCTTCGTTGAGATCTACAAGTCTCGTGCCGACACTGACGCCCTGCTTCTGTAAGATGCCTGAATACACATGGGGAGATGGAGCCAATCCTGACGACCGCGGCTTGCCCATCCTTATATCTTGCATCAGGAAGAGGGTAAAGGCGAAATGCGAGATCTCCCACGGTATAAGTCCCACCAACATTGCTGTAAGGGTCTGCTGTTGCAATTTTGCAGACCAGTTTACTGTGTTCGCGACTCCAGACCTACAGTGAGTGACCGATCCCATGCAATGTCAGTCGAAATTCTGAAATGCGCTTTTGATTAGGAAGGGTTACCCTGGTGGGGTTGTCACACTGATTATCATGCGGCAAAATCCTATACTATTTTGGACTTACCAGAGTTTTGGCTTGTAAATGCACTTCATTTCGACCTGTAAAACATATACCCCCTAAAAATGTTTACTTGAGCAGTGTGTGTTTTGAGATTGATTACATACGGCGCTATGAACCCAAATATATTTTATGGAGAACATGCGAAAATATGCTTTCTTTTGCTCAGTTGACAGCTAATTATTTTCTATCCGTACTTTTTACTCGAAGAGAAACTACCTGTCCGTCGTTGAAAAGTTCCTGATTGTGAGATTTTTTAAGACCGTGAAATATATATTTATGCAGCATCATGTCTGTATGTTTATTAATGCTCTTTCTTACTCATATGGCAGCGAATCGCATCATCTTCCCACTTTATAATAGAAGAACGAGTGTTTTTTAGTTTCAAAAGATTTTCTAATTATGAGTTTTTCTAAGATCTTCCAATGTCCATTCATACAGCATCGTATCTGTCCGTTTATTAATATTCCTCACGAAGTATACAACATACTTTGCATCCATTATAAAATTTCGTGAAATCTACACGGTATTTTCTTAAGAGGTCAAAAGGGAGTGTATATAAAATCCAGCCTTTTTAAGTCCAAAATATTAGAGGATTTTGCTACATGATAATCGATATTACATCGTCACCTAAATAATCTTCCCTAGTCGAAAATGCATTTCAGAGACATTTCATGCGATCGGTCACTCGCTGTAGCTCCAACGAAGCCATACACCGAGCTGGACGTGCATGCTACGTTCTCGGACGGTTTGCTGGCAAACGTCATCCCTGCGATCAAGGCCTACGTTCACATCAGCACTGCGCCACCTCTGGTCCATAACAATCTCCCAACCGCTCAACATTCGGTCTGTCGTTGGGCTTGGTCGCATTCAGCTGCTCATACTGTTTAAATACATCACTGCCTCGATTGTCAGCAGAACCGCGCGATTTTAAGGGAGCTGAGAGCCGACCGACCGACTACGCTGAAGATATCGTCCTGCCAGTGTCAAGATATGAAGACCCACAGAGTGCCTTGGTTGTGGATGAATGAGCTTGCTAAATTTATCATTTCTCGCACCAGCACTGGGTAGACCAAAGGGTCTCCAAGCTGTGCTTTCAACCAGAAGAAGGCACCACTGAAGATTAATAGTTGAAGAAGTGGACAGTGGCACTAAAATGTTGCCAAATGGGCAGAGTGGGGATGATATCGTTGCCCTCTGGGTTTTCATAAGCGTAGAAAGTATCCCATGGTCTTTTCGTGACCTCCTCCTCGTCACGAACATCCGGGCGTGCCGAACACCCGTTCGGTCGTCAGTCATCAGTTGAGTGGAATATGATCAAAAACTGGAAGGGTTTGATCACTGTTGCCAGAGGACCATCCTCTAACACCACCGACAGTTCGACTGTCGAATGAGACTGTCAGCACCCCCTACGACATCGCGAGGAGATCCAAGGACACGCAAGAAAGATTGTCCTTTTGTTTGTCGCCCGCCGCTCTTGTCCAGTGTTGCTCTTGCTCCGCTGCCTACCTGAATGCTAAGAAGAGAAGGTCGGCTGAAAACTTGACTCGACCAGTCCGTCGAGACATGAAAGTGGTCCTTTGGCCTTTATTTTGATGTCTTCGTCGCCGCAGATGGCCATTGGTTGGGCTCTCAGGATCCACTGTCGTAAATCACCACGTATGGGGAGGTAGAATCTGTGATATAATCGGGATCACCAACGTCGGGCATAGCCACAGTCTTAGCAAAAAGAAGCAAGTGCTGATGATTTCACAGTGCCTTGGATCTCTGCTGTAATGCCCTGCGGTCTGTTTCAGCTTATGGGCGAGATATAACCGACTAATAGTGCTGAATAACAGACAAATGGTCATTCCAGTCTTTCTCGCATTCACCAGTAACAGTTGTTAATGATGACTTTTCTTCACAGCCTTTGCCCTTCGTCTTTCATTGTGCATATTTTCCTAATCATCACAGGCCCCCGCATACACGTCCCCTCAGTCAGAGTCGGAGGCACTCCTCCGCTCCTCCAGTGCATTACGAAACCTACCTCACTGACCCCAATTTCCGCAACTCGACGACGAGAGTTTGCAGCCCAATTTAGGGATCTCTTTCATCCAAAACAGAAGCTGCAGCAACATGACATTTCTGGGAGGACAGGGCTTCTGGTTAGCTGGGAGGACGCCTCCCGTCTGTTTCAGACACAATTTGGCATCTCCTCTTCCGTCGCCCTGGCGATATGGTGCGTAAGCGTATCTTCTCCCTTCCTTTCAACTGGTCCACCAATCTGCCCTTACTAATCCATTTTTCCGCAAGTGTCTCAACAAACATTTGGAAGTGACACTGATCCTCTCACACAAGTCATGTTTGGCTTCTCCTTTTGTTGTTCTCGTTGACCTCCTACCAGGCGACACTGATAAGACCCACCAAAGAAGGTGCCAGCCGAACAGACCAAAATTTTTTAAAAGACAAATTTTTGACTTTTTCCATTTTCCTGTTAGTAGCACTCTTGTCTTGCATCATGGATCCATTGAGAACATTTCAATTACAGTCTAAATGTCATTTGTTGTACCACACTGATCATCAGCAGAATTTATGGCTTCGGTATCCACAGTTTTCACCGAACCCCTTATCCATATCCGTCTCCCTGAAAGCTAATGCCACAGGCTGGAAGACAGACAATTCCGGGTCGGATATGGTTTGGTAGCCCCACCTGAAGTAAACAAACCCCAGTCACCTCTAATACGGGACCGGTGGTCATAGGAGTTTTTACAGGTGGAGCCGGGGAACGCACAGGCGACGAGGTCAAGCAGTTGGGTGCAAAAGAAAAGCTATCGGGGATGCGCGGTCGCACTTTGAGTGGTTGAGAAATTGTTGCGCTAACCCCTAACCCTAGCCACTAACTTTAACCCTTAATCCTATACACCAACCCCCTAACCATAACCCTTAATCCCAACCCCAACAGTATTGTATCTATCAGGTAGGGCCACCAAACCACATCTTACCCAATTCCGTTCTCCGACTATGCCCTATTCTTGGGTGGAGAGCAAGTGTTTTATCAGAAGGTGGCTGCTAAATGTTTGGCCAGACAAGTGAAATTGATTTTGTGTTGAAGTGCTGTTCTCATGACATTCTTCTTAGGGCTTCTGACGGTTTCCACGAACAGTTATATTTGGAGCTGATGACTGAATTTTTACTGAGTCAAGCGACAGTCAGTTAATTGGGTCTGAGCAGATATGTACTTACTTCTCTGCAAGCCCATGCACCTTTTAAAAATTCTAGGGAGATCCATAACTGCGCAGGTGATAATCAGTTATGTCGGTTTGGATTGTCGGCGTAGGGCGGGAGAGGTGACTAGGCATAAATCGGCAGAACGAGGATTTCGACCAGTTAGCCTACTCACAACTGCATGCAGACTTTGTCTGTGACAGCAGCGGGATCTGCAAGAGGGTTTTTTGTAGGAATGGTTTGCATAGCATGATCTTGCCGTCGTCCCTGCCGTTTTGGATATGTATTTTTGAATTGACTTCAAATAGCTCTTCGGCACTCCACAGACTGGGCGAAAAATCCCCATCTGCGTCCACGCTTGATCACTCTATGCCGGCAGAGCTATGTCGCGACAGGATTTTCCCTTATCTACTTACTTGACTGATGATCCGTCTGACTTGAGGTGTTCTCAGCAAGAACAGCTGAGAGGTATTTGTACGTAGTCTGCGAGTAGCAACTTATCGTTGCCTTAGAGAACATTTTCCCTCGTTCTACGCCTTCAATACGAGGTTGACAAAGCAGTAGACGACTGTCTATTTTCTGGACTCACAATTTCTTTGATGACCTGTTCTTTAAGGTGACAACAAATCCAGTTATTTTGCTCTACTTGCTATCCGTAGTTGGGCCTTTGGAAATAATCTGTTATCAACGTTGTTTTCTTCCGAGCATTTGCAGCCTAAAAGATGCTATTCTGGCAAAACGTGGACGAATCTCCGTTCTTCGATTTATTTCATGAGTTAAACTCCCCCCTCCTCCTCCTCCTCCTCCTCCTCCTCCTCGCCCTTCCCCTTCCCCCCTCAGTATCCACAATCCCATTTTCTGTTTCTCACTCCTTCCAAAAATCCGTTTTCAAAAGGAGTCTCGTTATCGCTAGAAACACGTGACTTCTATATTTTGAAGTGCGACCAGCAAACTTTGGTATTGCGGACCATTTCCGCCGACCTGTTTGGGTGTTGCAACGTGTGCCGTGATTTATAGAGAGGTAAATTGTAAACCAGACTGTATTCGTGAAATTTGTCGAGGTAATGATAGTACAAAGTATAAAATTCGAGTCAGAATGAAGTAAGACGCGGAGAGGTTATGCTGCTCGTGTCAAGACGTTGACTATATAAAAACGTAGACTGATTCTTTCCAACCCATGAGACATTTACCTGTTCTTATGTATTACGACTTTCATTGTTCGCATCTGATTTCCGGCAGACGGGTGTACTTGTGTTTGGCAGTATGCCCTGGTCGACCAGCATGCTTGTCCCAGTTCAGCCCGTGAATGCTGCTGCTTTTCGGTGTTATGTCTTAGGAGAACTAGGACGTGCTTAGATGATAGGTGTATAGCGTTACGTTCTTGGTACTACGTCGTATTGCAATCTGCCAGCATCAAACCTAACGCTTGTCATGCGTGGGGATTTCTGTCTGTTTTTTAAGACACTGAAATATCGATCGAAGTTTGCTGACATTTCTTAGGATGTCGTGTAGTGCTTAAGTGAATTTGGGAACTTGATCATCAGAAAACGTAATTTCATTTCCCGTCTTCCACAATGGTTAGCTGTTTGTTGAGTGAACATCGTTTCAGCAGACTGTGCTGAAACGCTATTTCAGCGGTGTACGTATTTTCCGTTCATTGTCGGTGCTTAAATAAATCAAGTCATATTACAGATAAAATACGCGTAAAACTTCTCTCATGTAATCACTTTTTAATCTATAATTTTCTTGCGTGAAGGAAGGATGGAATTATTTTAGTTTTCGATGTTTGGTAGTTATGGGTCTTCTCTAGGCGCTCATATAGTTATGCTTGTATGGTGATACAATCATGCATATTACGGCTGTTCGCCAGTTATCACCCTGCAGTATTACCTGAGCTCTGCCAAAATACCTCTAGAAGAATTCTTTGTAGAAAAATTTAGGGATGTGCGGATTCGACACACAAAGCCTTAGGAGTAAATAAAAACGCGTCTGCGTTTCAGGTTTAAGTATATGTAAACTTCAAAGATCTAACTACTCTCTTCGTTTTGGTACATACTTTAGAGATGTACCTCGTCGAGGCCCAGCGACGTGTGTCATCCTCCCCCTTCTGACCCGTTTTTGCTGTTAAAATCCTGGTCAAGTGTTTTTTGTGGATCAGGGGATGCGGTTGCACGCTTAGGTGCGGGTCTGGCCGCGCCAGCCACCTGCTCTCTCTCTCCCGCCCTCGGTCTTCTTGACTATGTCTTGACACCGGGCCCAGGTGGGGGAGGAGAGAGTGTGGTATATTCTGCGCAAGTCTGCTATCACTATGAGCTAATTCACGCTCAAGTCACCGTGTCTGCTTCACCTTGCTGTGGAGCACACAGTGGACGTCGTCGGATACAACGTTCGAACTGCCTACCGATCTGAAATGATGCCCATCCTACGAATGCATTTGAAGTAAATTCTTGGCTTCTGAGCCGTCTTTATTAGGTAGTAGTCTTGCATTATGAAGTCTGTGTGCTGGTTACTTGTCATTTGTGGGCACTTTTTCCTTCCCCCCTGTCTCTCTACAGGAAACAGATGGATTCGGACGGCGACCTGAAGCTGAATGAATCTGAGTACTGCCTAGCCGCAAGTTTGGCTGAGAAGGTTGCCTCCACCGGCTTCAATCTGCTGGAGGCAAATGGCTTGGCACACACACTCGAGACGGAGAATACCATGACTCGTCCATTTGAAACTTCCTCCCTACTAGATGAGAGTCGATATCTTCTCCTATCACCGGCGTCTGCGAGCCTTCTCACTCCTGATGTTTCCGGTTAGTTGTTTGCCTCTTCGCCCCTTTTCGTCTAAGATCACCGCTGACGCAGGATAAGTCGTGGTGGCTGCGGTTCTGCGCGTAAAGCCTCATCTACGTCAGCTGGCCCTCGATGGACAGAGTTACAGATACGCTGGATCATAAGTGGGTCTCATGGACTCGCAACACGCGCCAATCAGGTAGTGCAGAGTGCGCGAGTTCATAACTAGGAGGGCTGTGATGGCACGCCTAGACATAAGCCCGCACTCCACGTCAACCCCTGCGTACAGTCCAACCACCGGCCAGTTCACAGACTCAGACAGTCGAGGGATGCATGGGACAGGGAAGCGGGGGTGAGACGGACACAGGGGAATCTCTCTTCACAGCACATAAACGCATTCCTCGCTGTAATAAATCGGACGTCTTTAAACCTATCACGAAGCACTGAGACTCATGGCTTTGACGGTCGCCAACTGATGGGATAACTCGGTCCATCTCAGAACTGGCAGTCAGACTGCAATGGGTCCTTTTTAATGCGGCCCTCATGACACTCTGCGAGACCTGCGCCGCCCTCAAGGAATTCCGGCACAGCTTGTGAGGACAAGATCGTGTAGCTTTGTCAGCCATTGCGCCCGAGCCCAGCCAGTCGCCATAGCATTGGCTTGCCATCAGGACCTGGTGGACTGTAGGTGCTGCGCAAGTCCTCCCGTTGTCGCAGTGACTACGTGGAACACGCGGTGGACACAGTCACTTAGGACGGTCGACTTGTCGCGTTGTCATATGTGTTAACACCGTGACCGGAATGGTCGCCAAGTGACTGGATAGCTCGGTCCTACCCGGGCTGGGAATGACTCACTCTTCCACTTATGTGAAATCCGAGACCCCTCGTCGAAGGCCGGTTCGTGTAGAGTTAGGGAGCACCGCATTCGTGTTACGCGCATGTGTGCCTTCAGCCCTATCAAACAGTACACACACACTTCTCTGTATGCAGTGATCATGACTCATTCCTGCATTAGAATAAGTTGGGTGTGGGTAGGTTGGGTGAGATAGACGCCGCGAAAGTCTCCTTTACGATAAAACAACCCACGCGTAAGTCGTTTCAGATTCCTACTAGAACAGCGGTGGTCTTTGTCGCTTGCGACAGAGGAGCTGTCATGTGTCTGCACAGGTCCCCCGTGATAAGCGTTGCTATCGCGTAGGATCCATACAGGGACCCGTGCTTTGTAGGAAACCAGTGTTCGGACGAAGTCACGTTTGGTAAGTGCAAGGAACTAACACCCTGAAGAGGGGGATGACTGCATGGTCAGCCGTGGCGTTTGATTTCATGTATAGTTGGCCTGGCATGAGATGAAGCAGGAAGTGAGAGAATGAGACGCGCCCCCCGCAATCCTCTCTCGCCACTTTACACATTCAAACAATCACAATACGCTACAATTTGTCGACTGCTGGGACAAATCAGTCCTTGAGACCGGGCAAGGATATAATGACGGCTGTTATCTCAAATCTTACGGACACCGTCTTGGAGTGTAGGGAGCGTGGCTCGTTTGCTTAGTGGGACCAGGATGTGTGGAGTGGGCAGACTGCCGGGTCAACTTTCGCGTCAAATCTAATCTCCGGCCGCAGGTAATGATGGCCCTGTCAAGCACTACAGACGACTTGTATTTCGTTTCAATTGCTTGCTTTTTTGAGTACCTTCACAGCAACCATGTGTTGGAGGTTACGCAAACCAGAAATAACCTCGGCATGTCACTTCATAAAGTAAAAACAGCCTCAGAAAAGGGATAATGAGAAGAAGTCTGTACTTTAGACAAAACAATTGCATTCTCCCGACATTCTAAGCCCCAGCTTTTCAGCGGGAGGGGGGGGGGTAAACAAGTAGTTGAAATCGACATTTTTATTTGAGTCCTTTTCAGAGGGCTGATATAAACCCTTCCACGACATCAGCATCGGCGTTGGAGAAGGTTATGTGCAAGTTAATTAGTTGCACAGAGAAACTACCTGGGTCATCTATAATTAAGACGGCGCGTGTAAGTTAGCCTGACCATATCAGTCAGGCGGGCAGTCGTTTACGCGGTCGTGGTTCTCGTTTGTGAAGTTACTTGACTATCGCTAATCACTGAATATTTTTCGTGTACTCGAAGCGTATTTGCGACACAGGACGTCTGCCTTTTATACTGCCCTGGGATGTGGAAGTTGCATTGCTGAGCAATGACATGATTGCGCTGTGTTAAGCATCTCACCTCATCCCTGACCTTCCAGTCATTGTCCAAGAGCATTTACGCACAAAAAGACTGTGACCACATCCCTGCGATCCTCCCTTCCACTGCCCGAGCCACCAGTGACCGATGTATCATCCTGTTCGAATGGTCGACGGAGGGACTGATTGTTCTTGTGTACTCCTGATTGGTCGCCAAGACAGCCTACTCAGTTTGTTGGCCACCCTTTCTCTCCTTCTGGATGAGCAAGTGTGAAGATTTCTTTTCGGGGTTATTAGGAGCACGTTTACCATACGTCTTTTGTCGAGCTGGTAATGTAGGGCCTGACGGACCCTTGGGGAGGGGGATTGGTAAAACAATCGTCTCCCATTCTCCCATTCACATGGTAAACGTCTGTTTTACGAGGTTTTTCCCCTAGGTGGATTCCCGGTCCACCGGTTTACTGGCTTCAAGATCACTTATCAGGTTTTACGCCATCAGCATTGAAACGGCATTGTTGAACACTGGAGATGATTTGCTAACTTCTTTGTTTGACTCGAGGCTGGATTTCGCCAACATCACTTTGGCTAATTAAAGCCAGCTTCCTTCCTGCCTGCCTCTCCCGCTCTGTGCTGTCATAATTTTATAGAACAATTACGGTTAGGGCATCATGGCCTCAAACTCGGCTCTCCGTTTGCCTCCCTCTTCTATTTCTGCTTCCGCCCTTCACTAATCTCTCTCTTCCCTCGGTAGATCAGCGTCCCTAGATTAGACGCGAATCACATTGCCGCACATTTTACACTCCAGAGCCTCTGCCAAATATTATGTGCAATGTGGTCTTTGGTTTGCGCCTTCTGCTCTGTTACCACACAGCCATATTTTTTCGCCGTCCCGTTGTTCCAGAGGAAAGTGACCTTGTCAGTCGCGGTGGGGGTGATGTTCGGCAGCCTGCGATGATCCGTTCGGAGCAGCCCTACGAATCGGACAGCGCCTCCCTGCTAAGCGACTACTCGTTCTCCAGACTCGCCGAGCGCGGTTCGTTGGCATGTGGGGTACCCCTGCCTGCCGGCCAGTCCACGTGTCCTCACAGTTCTCCTCTGGCGTTGCCCAATCACATATCTTCCAACCTGGAGGGCCTCTCGGGTTTGGGTGAGCCATCATTTCCCCCTCACCTCCTCCTCCTCCTCTTCCTCCTCCTCCTCCTCCTCTTCCTCCTCCTCCTCCTCCTCCTCCTCCTCCTCATCCTCCTCCCCGCTCCCTCCCCCTCCCCTCCTCCTCCCCCTTCTTCCCGGCATCCTCACCACACCGCTCCTATTTCTCATATTTTTGCTACTCACTTCCTTGGGTGTATGATTTTTCCTTCAAGATCGAGTTATTCACTCTTTACGCCTCCCCGCCGCAGTCAAATTACAGAGTTGCTAGGCTAAAAGGAAACTCATGTAAGTTTGCCCCATAAATGCGTTGGGTTCTTCAGCATGGAGCAGTTAACTGATTATGGTCAAATGCTGGTGGGCAACGGAGGGCAGCAAAGGGGGAGAGTGGTACCACGGCCGTTGTTGGGACAGACGGTCGTGGCAACAGTTTCTCTAACAAGGCGCTTCAAGGTGTCTTTGGGGTCGTAAAAGTAGAGTCGCACCTGGGTCGCAGTTGGAATGGGCCGCAGCGAGCAAGTTTGGTCACGATGGATTTTCTACTCCCCCCCCCCCGCTGTAGTATACCGCTTGTCTATTTTGGTTTTAGTTTGTAGTAAATTGAGAGCGTTCTCATCAAAACTGGTCCGTGTGGGAGTATCCTGGTCACCTGCAAAACGTAAAGCCTTTCTTCTTTGCCAGTTTGCGAAGACGACTGTATCACGAACAAGCATCCTCCTTATCGGAGACGAGACAATCCTTCATAAAAAGTAGGAGTGCAAACTTGGGGGCTGAACCGTTATTAATGAAGACGGATCGAAAATCAGAACCATCTTCTTGTTTAACCGAGCGTGCCGTTTAACCTGCGTCCGTGATCTTGACCTCCAGAGTAAGTCCTTCGGTTGATGTAGTACTTCAGCTGAGAACGGTCTCACCATCGCAATCGAAAGTGTCCGCCTTCTGTCCGCCGGACAATCTGGGAGTTCGCATCTGCCTTTCTTTGCAACCGATTTCCTCGACTTTATTGCTGTCGCTGTCCTCACAGCCGATCATGTAGACCATACATGGTCGATAGTCGAGTTCCGATTCCTTGTGGATCTCCAATAGTGTCTGCTAAATAGGTTGCTATGCCTGACATGATACCAAACGGTAGCTCACCACCACCGCAAAACCGAAGCACCTCCAGCACCTCCCTATCAGTCCTTTTCTAGGTAGATCATATACTTATTGGTACTGGAATTGCCACACGCGGATCTAGTTGATTTTGATGATCCGGAACCAACTGCTAGGCTACAGGAACATCAAACAAATAATATCAGGGATTGACAGACAAAGACAGGGGGTATTAAGAAAGCAACTGTCTTCGGCTTATTCATACCCACGTAGGTCAGTCACAAACCTAATTAATGGCTACGGCTGAAAACACGAACGTTCGGACACCGACTGAGCTGGTGGTGCACAGTGAAGTCTGAGCGATAGTAGCAACTCCTAAAGTAACTAAATTAGCGCATGTGCCTTGCAGCGGGGCTTTCATCTTTGCAATACAAGTGGCTGGATGGACTCTTGCGTGAATTTGTTCGAGCGCACGACTCCAGTACTTGCTCTAGAAGTTGAGTGTTGTTGTTGTCTGGTCGGTCACTTGCAAAAGCATCGCACTGCGATTGACCAACCAGTGCTTGGAGCCCCAGTTGCCCAAACTACCCCAGAACGGGCATCAAATGGGCCCATTCGGTTAGTGGGCGTCTACCCAAATCATCAGTAGGCTAGCAGAGATGGATCCCTCACAGCAATTCGTTCGACTCCTGTACACGTCACTCATGAGGAGCACATACGATGAAGTTTGCTAGCGCCGGTATGACGGTCGAGACGCCGCATGTGAAGAATGTACACCCAGCTAACGTGATAGCAAGTCATTTGGTGCAGTTAGACACATGTTTAGTGTGGGCTAGTTCGCGTGCGGAAAGCGCAAACGGGCTATTTTACCTGCCCTTGTGCCAATGCCCACCAGCAGTCGTTTTGACTTCATCTTGCCATCGGAGCAATGGGGGTGTGGGACGAGAGCCTCCTCCACTGTCCGATGGTCGAGTTATCAGGCGGTCGCCTTTTGTAGCTCCTCTTACCCTTGCAGAGCTTGTATGCCTGAGAAGCGAATTTTATTCCTGATTCTTTTGCTTTATCTCAGTCAAAGAATTCTTATTTTTGAGGCCTGCGCGTAAAGAACGTTGTGGCTGGGTAGGTTGTCGCGTGCTCGCAACTCACGCCGCCCTATTTGGCGCTTGCGTGCACTCAGAATAAGTGCCCAATCTGGCTCGATGAAGACTGACTATTGGTGAGGCAGTAATGAATTTCGTTTCCATGGCGCTAATGGTCGAGTGATTAGATCTCGTCTACTCAGTGTTCAGCCAATATTCCCATGTTACAATTGAAAAGTCAATTTGGCAAGCACGTGTTTTCGGTAACTCTTCATCAGGCCAAAACGGTAACATAGAAGTTTACATTATGCGAAGTTACAGGGCTTAGAAGTGATTCAGGGACTATTAACACCCATCGTTCCCACGCCACTCGCATGACGAGGCGTGCTATGGCGTGGTCGGCGTGTTGTGGGTCATTGGGCCAAGGGGGCGAGGAAGAGGGGGGACATAGGCCGTGAGTAATGTTTGTACGTCGGGTACGTTGTGCACATACCACTGCCATCAGGAGGTTGGGACGATGTTGGGGTCGGCGTCGGCCACGGAAGATAGAGCGCCTGTGTCAAAGGCTTCTGACAGCATAGCACTGGATTGGCTAGCCGTATAGCCACTGCCTCGGTTGGAGCTAGCACCCGTTGGCGTAGGCTTCTGGAGAAGCTTGCTGGCTTCCGGTAGACAACCTGAAAGTCTTTTTTGACATCGACTCCGCGATTCGTATCGATAAGATGTGCGAGAATAGAACTCGAGATCGTTTTCTTTTCACTGGTGCCTAGCCAGGCCCGTATGTGTTCACGTACTCTCTTTTCCAGGCGTCTCGTTGTACGGCCAATTTATCCCGCTCCACAGGAGCAAGTAAATGAGTAAATACACATCGATGTGGCCTGCAACGGGATTCGGTCTCTACCTCCCAAGCGTAGGAGGGGAGAGTTCGTGAAACATATACGTAAGTTCGCCGCGGAGAAAGGACTAGTGATCGCTGTCTTCAGACGTCTTCTTACTAGGTCACTTGCTGCATAATTTTAACTTCCATGTGACCGTTTTGGCCTGATTAAGAGTTACCGAAAACACGTGTTTGCCAAAGTGACTTTTCGAGTATATTTGTGTTCCCGGTCAGAGCTGTTGGCCAGGGTTATTGCTAACTAAATAGAGGCCTGAAACGGCTGCTGAATCTGTCCACTGCAACTGCACAGCGCTTTCACGCAACATGTGTGGAATTTCTCCGAAATTTACCCAACTTTCTTGCTCCTGCACTGTTCACCATTGCCTATTTATCGGACAACCATCCCTCTGAAGCTTCGTTCGTCCTGGTTTAGGAAACAGCGCGCATGTGGCAGCCGCAGCTCAGGGGCATAGCATCTACTCAGTCGCTGCATTCGATCTCGCTTCAAGTTGACTTGTGCTCGACTCGCCAATTATGGTGGCCGTCGTCTTTCCGAAGTGTTGAATGCTTTGCATAACCGATTTTTCTTTTTTCATATAAGAGACCAGGCCTTGTGTAACGTCAGATCCACTTGAATCCCCGGTTAATATTATTTGTTGCCCTGTGAGGTAGTCGATTCTAAGAGGTCGGCCGTCTAGACAACTGAAGGAATGTAAAACAGCTCCTACGCAGACTTTATTCCATTGTAGAGTTCGGCCTTCCAATGACCATCTTACTGATTTTTTTGTCTTGTTACGGCCACACAATGAATCCACAGCGCACGCCGGCAACTGGACGCCATCCGACGCAGTCATTGCACCTCATAAAGAAAGATTTACCCAGTCGAAGGAAGGAAGCGCCGGAGAGCCGGAACTAGTTATCGGACTACACACTGATGGAATTATTGAGGACCAGAAAGGAGAAGAGGAGGAGGAGGAAGAAGAAGAAGAAGAAGAGGACGATGAGGTAGTCTCCATTGAGAATGAAGAGAACGAGGCGATTGGCGTGGCTGCCCTCCTTCCCACTCCTGGTAGCCAACGCGGGATTGTCGCCAAGGTGAACGAAAGCCTTCTGATTCGTTCCACCTCTAGTGGCGGTGGCGGTGGTGGTGATGTTGCCGGCAACAGCGTTTTCTCCTCGCATCCCAGTTTCCAGTCAGCTTCCTCGTCTTCGTCTTCAGCGTCAGCATCCTCCTCACTGTCCTCATCGCCCACTTCCTCCCTTGCCTCTTCCAGCCTCTCGCGCCATGCTCGCTTCTTGGACTACGACCATTCCCACCACCTTCCCTCGCCCTCGGACAGCAGTAGTGATTCGCATCATATCAATAGGTCAGTCGCTCTCCCTTTTGCCCCTCCTATGTTATGTGTAGAAACACATGAAATAGATGGAAAAGATTATGTACATAGGTGGGGTTGCAGTCAACATAGTTTTAAGTTAGATCCTACACGGTAGCATGCTGGCTATTGGGCGACCATCCTTTCTGTCATTTGTATGGATTGCACTCGGAAAAGTATGATGAATCAGGTCATACGTATTTTTTCCACAGAATTTCGATGTCTGTATAAATTCGGTAAAGGAAAAGGAAAGGTTTGTAACACCTGGGGCTCGAATTCGCGACCTGTTAGTTAGAAGTCCAACGCCTCTTCTAACTAACAGGTCGCGAGTTCGCGCCCCAGGTGTTTCACACTTTGGGCTTGGGTATGACTGGCTGACGACGGCTAATAAACCATAAATGGCCATTCTAGTCTCCCTTGTCTTTGTCGGTAATAGCACTCTGCCTATACATAGAGTGAGTGACCGATCTCATGAAATGTTGGCTGAAATTCTGAAATGCGTTTTCGATTAGGAAGGATTACTTGGTCGCGGTTGTGATACTGATTATTATAAGGCATACTCTTATAACATTTCGGGCTCGGCAGGATGTCGGCTTTTAAATGCACTTCTTTTCAATTTCCTGTAGAAAGCGTGTTCAGTAAAAAATGACTACTTATGTAGCATGCATTTTCCCATTGATGTTCGATGGTCTTGCAAATTCAAATATACTTTATAGAAACCATAAACAAAAATATGCTTTCTTTTAGTCAATCAATAGAGAATCACGTCTTCTTTATATTCTATACTTAGGGAAGGAGTATAATTAGGTTTTAAAAAAGTTTTCTAATTGCCGAATAATTTGGAGCCGGATCATTCGTTGCATTAGCGCTTAGTGATTTCAGCCTACAAGGTGCATGCGTTCCGCGTAAACAAAATCGCATATTTTTCTATGCCATTAAAGAGATATCATACAGAGTCCATAAAATTTTGCAATGGATGCGGACCATGTTGTACATTTCATGAGGAGCAGTGGTCAACGGCCAGGTACGATGCTATGTGAATGGACATATCCGGTCTTAAAAAGTCTCATAATTGGAAACTTTTTTAAAACCTAATTACACTTCTTCCTTGAGTATAAAATATAAAGAAGACGTGATTCTCTATTGATTGATTAAAAGAAAGCATATTTTTGTTTATGGTTTCTATAAAATATATTTGAATTTGCAAGACCATCGAACATCAATGGGAAAATGCATGCTACATAAGTAGTCATTTTTTACCGAACACGCTTTCTACTGGAAATTGAAAAGAAATGCATTTAAAAGCCGACATCTTGCCGAGTCCGAAATGTTAAGAGTATGCCTTAAGATAATCAGTATTACGACCGCGACCAAGTAATCCTTCCTAATCGAAAACGCATTTCAGAATTTCAGCCAACATTTCATGAGATCGGTCACTCACCGTATAGGTATATTGAAAAATATTTTCTCTCACTCATTTGAGTGCAGGCTGTGTCTTCTTCGAATTTTTTACTTGAATAAAGTGTATCTTTCGGTTTTAAAAATTGTTTAATTTCCCGAATAATTTTGAACCCGACTGCTCGCGTTTAGGATTCCAAAACTACATGCAGTGTACCTGCCGCGTAGTAAAAATCATGCATTTGTCTTTGCCATTAAGATGTCATATAGCTCTCAAAGTTTACTTCATAAGCAGCATTAATAGACAGACAGATACGATGTTGTATGAATGAACATCTCACAGTCTTACAAAATCTTCCTAGTACGGATTTTATTAAAGTGATAGGTACCCTTTCTTCAGTATGAAGTTTTGGGAAGTCATAATTTGATATCAATCTCGTACAGGAAAGAATGCTTTTGTTCACATTTTCTATAAGATATATCCGAATTTGTAATGTCATTGTCAATATATGAACAAATGCATACTACTTAAGCAGCGACTTTTCTCGAGTATCGTTTTTGCGTGCGACAGTGAAAAATCTCATTCGGAAGCCGGACTCCTGACGTGACTGAAATATCTTGCTACTATGCTTCATGATAATCAATTTTGCAATCGTACATGACCAATAATTTTTGATCGAAAACGCATTCCAGAATTTTGGTTGACCTTCTACGAAACAGGCAGGCTACTGTGGGCTTGAAACATTTTCAGTAATCGAAAAACTTTAAAGGGGAAAATGTTCTTTTTTCAATAGGTAACTCGAAGTAGACGTAAATTACTTCGACTCGATTATAATAAGGGGTATTTTCATGCATGTCTTCCACAGTATATGTTTGGATTTATAAGTGCATCGAAAACCAGGGAGTTAAAGTCATACCACTTAAGTAGTCCTCATTTGTCGGGTGTGATTTTTGTATCCGGCCGGAAAGGCATCCATTGAAAAACCGAAAGCGTTACTTGACTGAAGTATATTGTACCTTCTTGCTAATCGATATTACCGCTCCACTTATGCAATATTTTCTAGCCTAAATCGCTTTTCAAGGTTTTAGTTATTTTTTAGTGAAATACGTTACCCACTCTGAATAACAATTATAAACCTAATAATGGTGGGCTACACAAATAACCCCTGGAACTTTTCATAATTGCTTGTCGTTGGAAGCTTTGAAAACTAAGATGCCCCCAGTTGATTTCATACTACATCTGAGAAGACTAGATCTTCTCTGATGTGAACAGGTGAGATAAAAGAAGTTTTTCCTAAAATATGGTTCATTGTGCACGGGCATTGATAGTCACTGGAAACAAGTAAGCTGCTCCGGTGACAATTTATTTGGTGTGCGATTTGAACAGACAGTTTGTAAAGCATCGAATTAAAGGCGGGGCTACTACAGTTTAGGAATAGACTTGATTCAAATTCCCTGATCATCAGTTTTACAACCTGATCTAATTAACTGCTTGCATTTGAAAGTGAATTGAGAAATGCTCATCGACGTTTCCTGAGTTTCATTGCTTTTTCAAAGCCGGCATTTCATCAACGCAACTTTGACATATATCCAGTTACCTGGAGAATTAAAGTGTTTACTCCGCAGATTCTTAATCATATGCTTCTACGTGCCGGCTATTGTTTGACCATCCCTTAACAAAAGCCTATGATCGGTTAGCGTTCGCGCCGCCGTGCGTCTGTTGAATTTCGTTATCCGTGATCCGCCTAAGTTTCAGAGGTTGAGAGACATTAGGGCGCTAATCACTCATGGCTACTAAACCTTCGTACCGAGAATGTACTGACCATTACTAACCTTGTTCTAAGGCGAGGCTGTACGATTTCGAGATCATTAGGATCGTTTACCGAGCACGATTTTGAACACGGCATATGATTTCGGTAAACTCGATTTCACCTAATCCCCTGAAACCGAGAAACCGGAGTACCCTAGGCTTCTTGGGCAATTAAACTGTATCCTCGATGCTAAGCTGATAATTCATAAAACGGTGTTACACTTAGATGACAGAATCAGTACGGCAAATCCTGCGTTTGGGGCAGTAGTACCATCAAGCCCGATTTTAAAAAATGGTGTGGAATTCCACAAAAATTGTTGAAATGGAGCTAGAATTTTCCTCTCCCGGTGGAGTACACATCCCCACTCATCCGTATCCCTCTTTCCTACTCTCTAATTAGATCATGACTGGTTAAAACACTTTCAAAGCTGAGAATGAACATCACTGCTCAGAATGAGGCACGAGTGAGTGGCGAGGAAAGCGGAGGAGGTCTGACTTCATTCCAGTACCAATAACGACGATTTTATTTTCTTTTACAAAAACAACGTTCAGGCAGAACACCCGAGATACACCTGGCAGCAAGCCAAGTTCAAATGCTGAATAACTAAAATATGGGCAACTTGAACTGTCATAGGCCAGTCATTTGGCCCAATCACGTGCGACTCACGACAGTCGTAAATCGCGGGCGAATCCAACGTTGCTAACAACAGACAATAGGAAAAAATGCCTTCTTGAATAGGCTTCCTGTTAGAGAGAAGACAATAACTCGCCCACCTCGATAACGGTAAGGAAATGAAGTCTTCAAGGTCTAAACAGATAAAGCATGTTATAGTCTGTCATTATAATACGGAGAAGGCAATCAGGAAACTCGCGTAGCGAAGAAACTTGTGTCGCTTTCCAAAGTCGGTTTTCCGATCCCACGATTTTCGGGCGGATTGCAGCGCTGATGACTTACCGCCAACTGCACTAAGAAAATGACTGGTACGTATTGTCAAGATTAAGTTATGAAGACCGGCATTGCAGGAGCTATTCTCCACGCCTGGTGCAGCTTTGTTCCCCTCTGGTCTGCGGAGCGTATTCTATTCTCAAACCCTCTTCAAACGTCGATGAGATTTAGTGTTTCTTGATCATGGCGTGACTGGTGTGCCACACGTAGGCGACTATCACAAGTCCGTCTTTTACAGGCCGTGTTTTCTCGGTAGTCTTAGGCTCCGTATGACTATCTTGTCTTCGTCATGGCGTATGTAATGACGTAGGACTTAATAGGCCGAAGGAAGGTCAAGATGCCTGTTGATTGAGTTGGCATCTCAGTACCCAAGCCTCGGGTGTGAGACGCTCTGTCCTTGAGGTGCCCCTGCCTAAGACGCCGTAACGAAGACAAGGCAGTCATACGGAACCTAAAACTACCAAGCAAACACGGCCTGTCGACCACTTCACCCAAAAGGGGAACACAAACGCAACTAACCCCAATTGAGGTGGAGACACACAATACAGGAGGCCACAAACACTCTCAGGCGACGGCCAGTAGGCCAAGGCAACGAAAGAAGAGAAAAAAATCGATCACCCCAAGGCCAGCTAATCCGGCTGTCTATTCAAAATTCTGATCAATTTTTCACTAGACGCTTTGATAATGGAGAGCCGTCTCAGCTCTTCGAAACGTTAACCGAACAAGTCTCTCGATCTGGTGAGCACTTCATTTTCCTCAGGTCGGTCTTCTACTTTCACAGTAGTGCTTCGCGGCCTCAATTCGCTTCTATCGTACATGCCTGAATTTCTATCATAAAATTGTTGCTGTATATGCTTTTGTTGTCAGTCCTGGGTCACATGTGTTCGCTTGTAAAAGGGTGAAGTCTGTCTCTTAAACCGCTTTTCGTCACCCCTTACGTGTTTGGCGAACTGACGGATGGTGCACTTAAGGGCTTTAAAGATGGCTTACATCTTGGTCAGTAAGGTAGTCCCACAAATCCGTTATTATCTCATGAACCATTTTTGCCCTTGCGCTGTGCAGTGAGGATGTGGATCCAATCGCCCTGTTGGTGGGAATCACTGGTCGGGACGCCGAGCTCTTGCGCACACTGCCGAAATGCCGTCGGCAGCGGATACTCACCCGTATGGAGAGCCTCTCGAAGTTTATCAACCACACCCTCCTGCGTCTTAACAACGAGCTGGCAGGAGAGTTGCAGGAACTTTTTGATCAACAGGTGAATCTCAATGTCCAAGTCCACCATTTATCACTTATTCATCAGCAGCAGCAGCAACAACAACAACAACAGTCTTCCAGGTCACAAGGGTCAACTGAACTACCTGCGTCGCTCCCTCTCTCCCCAGTACCCCCAAGGAAATTCAGCTGAAGCCTCATGTCGACTCCCGTCCCGTTTCCGCCTTCCTATCAAACTGCAATTGAAGTCGCCACTTGTTTTTTCCCTTTTCTCTGTTTGCCCAAGTTGGTGTTGGCCATTTAAATCTAAGCTTCTGCTCTTCTCTATTCTGGGGGCAAATCCCCCGAGTTTTGATGACTTCTCCAATTCTACCTTGGTTATTTTCTTTATTCTGTACAATCACTCTTACACCACCGTCCCAGGAAATTGACTTTGCAGTGTGCCAGTTCCTTTGGAAACAACAGGCATTCATTTACTTCTAGTCATTCAGCTTTTCGGCAGTTGGGTAAACCTTCGCAAACTGCCAGCTTTAAATCATGCTCGACAGAGGATGCGACGGGCTCAGTTGGGATCCCAGGCGTCTCCTTGTTTACACAAAACCCTGGTCCCTCGTGCGCGGCCCATTCGTGTAGGGCGCGCCTAGTCGGACAGTTTAGCTTTGCTGACCCTTGTGCCCTATCCCGCATCCGTTTTGACTCTCTCTTGACACTGGGCACCGGTGGCTGAAGGAGGAGGCATCGTGGTAGGTTCTGTGCAAGCTTACTACTACTACTACTACTACTACTACTACCACCACCACTACTACTACTGTCGCTACTACTACTACTACTACTACTACTATCACCACCACTACTGCTACTACTACTACTACCACCACCACTACTACTACTGTCGCTACTACCACTACTACTATTACTACTACTACTACTACCACCACCACCACCACTACTACTACTACCACTACCACTACTACTACTACTACTGTAAACTGGTTCACGTGCAAGTTTCCGTCCATGCCCCAACCTTGATATGGGTCACAAGGTCTATATCGTCGGCAATGGCGGTAGAGCCTTCATGCTCATATGACTATTAATGCGAGTATCCCGTCAGGGAAATTTATATTCAGTGTCCAGTGTGTGTGCGTGGTTAGTTGGGGTAGGTGACATCTCTTCGTTGGTGCCGTATGCAGGCAAAACGGATGTCCGTGTTTGGCCGCAATAAAATCCAGTAGTGCCTTGAGCATATTTAGTACAGTGCTTCCTTACCCAGACGACCAACAGTCCTCTGGACGTATAACGACACGAGGGAGTTTCGTGGCTTGATGATAAGACGTCTCAGTGAATAGCCGGGTCCGAGTTAAACCGTCTTTTCTACCCAACCGGCAAAGGGTTACCTTACAAAACCAGTGGGGATTGGTCTGCAATTCGTCCTGAAAAAGCATCCTCCATTCCGCTTGGGTAAATCAAGGCCCGGCGGAGTGACTAACGCTCTGTTGAGACAGTTTAGTGATCGTGTGGACAGGTTTTTTCGCCCAGTGGAGTCGTGGTATCAAGAATAGGTCATTTTTGACGCATTTCGACGAAATGTGTGTGTACTCAGCTCAGGCTACTATTTGCTCGATGAGATGGAGAGGGAGTTTGCGTCCAACCAGTTCGTTTCATGGTGGTCTCCAATATGACAGCGGGAAAGCAGGAGGTATTTAAGCTACAAGTCGATTGGTGGGGGGGGGACAGATTTCGAATTTCAGTCTTCATTCTTGAATAAACTGTACAAAAAACTCAGACAATTCCGTTCCGTCTGCGGGTGGTGGCGGGGCGACCAGCAGCCAGCATGTCCGCCATTTATGTCGGGAACAGCGACCTGATGCGCGGACCCAAGGCCATACGAAGATTGATGACGCTCTGCATCTGGAAGACAGTGAGCCATCGCGTACTCTGCCTCTCGTTCCGTTACAAATGCTGTTTCAGTTTTCCAGTACGGCAGTGATGTATTACTCCTGTCCAGAGTATGTCGAAAGTTACTTTTGTGTACGTTAGGGCTGCACAATTTCAAAGCCCGGGCGACCCAACGTGTAGCTTGTGGTAAAATGGATTTCGGTTAGATTAACGTCTGAGAACAGACAAATTATTCCATCTTGAGTCAGTTTATTGAGGGAATGAGGCTTTCGCCCTTGAGCTCCCTATTCATATGGATAAACAGAAATAGAATAATCAGTAACATTAGCAAATGCGGAAATTCAAAAATTGGCGATAAGTGTGAGCCAGGCGCAAACTGCCGCCGTTAAAACAACCGTGATCGTATGTGCAGTAGTTTCTCAGAAAATGAGAATCTAGTCTACCCTTGAAGGATTCGACAGTTTCGTAAAAGACCACCGCATCAGGGAGTCCGTTCCATGCCCCGATGATCCTGTGTGAGAAGGCGTTCCGTCGGATGTCCAAATGAGCCAGCTTCCTCTGCAGTTTGGAGGGATGCCTACGCAGACGGTCCGTCCCTGCTGAGTGGTTAGAGCGTTTAAACTTATGCCCATACTTTCTACTGACTTGGGACCCAATGCGCATTGTTATAAATGACATACGTCATGGCCATATAATGCCTTAAGGGCTTAAGATTAGAAGAGGGGCAAACTATGCACAAATGTTGCTGGCGCGCTGCTCAGGTTGATCAAAAGTGCTGAAACGTCCCGGGGGTCGTCGCCTTCTATTACGTTTTCCGTGGTGGCTGGAGGTGTCTAAAGTTTCTGTTTTGGAAATGCACCTCAGATGCAACTCGTTTTTAAGTATGCAAATTTTATGAGAGCGGCCATGTAGGGGCATTTAAAAACCCAAGACGTCTAGGCATGTTGGATAAGGAGCTCTGCTAAAAGTTTACGGATTCGACATTTTAGCAATTATTCAAAGAATTTAGTAAAGCTTATGGGGAGTTAAGAGTGGAGGTGTTAACTTGTATATTGTATATGCATATTGAAGGGTTACAGGCAGAGCCCTTGATGACCCTATTTATGTACAGTGCTTTCGCAGATTCATACTCAAAAATAAAATAAATTTGCAGGCATTTAAAATGTGATTGGGTCACAGTCCAGTCGTAATCATAAGGTAGTGCATGGGGTCACTGTAAATTAGTGCGGAAGATTGTATATGACAGATTTTACAAAACTGGCTGTGCATAGTCATGCTGTACAAGCCGATTTCTGTCGAAAACTAGGCGAGCAAGTTTTCTTTTAAACACACAAACTGTATCAGCCGTCACCATCTCGCTTGGAAGCGAGTTCCACGGCCTGACAACCCGCTGGCTGAATGAAAATTTTCGTCGGTCTAAACGCGTGCGCTCATTCCCGACTTTGTATAAGTAAGCCACGTTTCTGTGAATGCCATAATGTCTGGCTTAATTTCATCAACTAAGTCTCTTAGTTCATCTAGTTTGTTGAAGAGGCTTTGCACATTTGCGGATATAACCTTCAATGACTGATTTGTTGCAGAGGCCCGGCCTTCATTGTGACGGGTTCTGACCACAGGAAAGCCCCCTTTGTTTGGACTATTTGTCCATTTTTGATCTTCAGCCCTTTCTCTCCTCTGCCAATTCTCTCCTTCAATTCTGATCTCAGTTCTCTTATTTTCAGTCTTTCCCTCGGTTCGTAGTCTGGTTATAAAAACACTTCCTTGTGCGATTTGCGTAAGGTCGTTCTACTTTCTAACAAAAGCATTTACACAAACTGAGAGGAGCATATATAACATGTTGTCACCTGTAAGGCCAAGGAGTTCCTAAACGGTTAATGAAGGTACAACGGGCTAAGAGAATTGCAGTAAATTGTGAAACATACCGAACTTTTCGAAATATCGCCTAGATCCAAGAAAATATCCACAATGCATCACCAAACTCCCAGTATGAAATCAATGGTTCTAGTTAGAAATTATAAACCGAAGTGGATGTAAGTCATTCAGTTTAGCTTCTGATATTCAGGAGTCAGTACATTAATTCCGGTCTCAACAGTGGTTTGATATGTTTGTAGTCCAGTGCTCAATCGCTTGAATTATTTGGTATTTATCGTCATCATTACTTCATACGGCGGCCAAAACAATAGTCAGCACGTGTTCAAGAAGGATGCCAGAGCGTATAAACTAGACCTTGACAGAATGCGCTAAACAGGTTTCCGACATCATGCTACATACTAGGCACCTTCAGATAAGCCCATTGAATGCTGTCTGTTGGGAGGCTGCCAAACTAGTGTGTAGACTGCATATATATAGCCCATGGCCCGCTTGCTCGGACAGATGCAGATATGGCCATAACTGCGAGGCAACGAGTTAATGAGCTAATGCGTTTGTCGAAATAATTGGTTCTTTATGTTGCTGCTACTTTGGGTGTGCGTGGGACGGTGAAATTGCTTCAGCTTCGGTTGCATAAAACTCGACTGTAAGTCATCCCCCCAAACCTCGCTGTCGTCAGACACTGGTGAAATAAATGATACAAGACAGAGATCGAAGTTGCTGAGTTAAATTGGTTCTAGATATATAAGTTGGACAGAGCATCCCTTGATGCACTGAATTTCACGAAAGTAATTTTCCTTCGATATTGTGCTGCCGCGATAAACTGCCTTGCCAGTGCTCAGTGTTTAACTTACGAATGCCGTAAAATCTTGATTGCCTGGCTCTTAGACTTTTTGAAACCTCCGTGTCACATGGGGTACGGATACCTTGTCCGTGGGCAGTATCTCCTTTGTGATTAAACAAGCGCATTGCACAAAGTTTCCGTCCGATGGCGTGACCCAGATCGAAAAGGATATCAGAAGAATAATTGTGGTACGTACAAAGCAAGTGGTGAGGAGTTTTTAAGCGAGCCCTGCCAGCACACGGCCCCTTCATATGCGGGGCTGGAAGGGGCTGGGTGGGGCCAGAGCCCCGCCTGCCAGCACATGGCTCCTTCATAGGCGGGGCTGGAGGGGGCTGGGCGGGGCGAGAGCCCCCTCTGGATTGAAGCCTTTTGAAGCGTATTTGCATCGAAAGATATGTTCCAAAAGCACCACTTATTGTACCTTCTTTGGAATTAAAAGGAGCTAATTTATCAAAATTGGCTTATAAATCATGGAGAAAGCATCCGTTTACGCCCACTGAATGTAGCTGCGGATGAGCACAATATATTGAGGTTTTGTTTAAGTCCCTCATTGCGTAAACTCTTATTTGTCTACCGGTTTACAATCTGTGTGTGTTATTAATTCGTATATTGGACAATCGGGACGATATTTTAAAGTGGTGCCAAAAGTGGGCTGGGATGTGGCGTACCCTGCGCATTTTTTTTCGCTAGCGGGGCTAGGCGGGGCTATCGCGTTGCATGCCCCGCCACAGCCCCCTCCACAGCCCCGCCTAGCCCCCTCATAGCCCCCTCTACCCCGCCATTATTGAGGGGGCCAGGCGGGGCTAGGCGGGGCTGGTGCTGGCAGGGAGGCTATGAGGCAGTACGCCCGCCCTGATAATGTTAATGGCATAATGTGTGGGCTTCGCTTTTCCGCATTATAACGTAGTATTAGTCCTTCATTCGTGGCGTGGCATCGATTTGTGGCTTTTTTAGTTTAGTTGCGGCGGAGTCATGTAATTATATAACTGTGGCTGGGGCCTTAACAAAAGCGTATTTAATGCGCTTAAGGAAATAGGATGTTTTCGAGAAAAAGCATGCGAGTAGAATTTCTGAAATCAATCAGCGTATCGGTATGCTTACCCCATGAGTTCTTTTAAGTGGTTAGTTTAACTAACTACCCACATAACACAAGAGGGTTTTGAGTACCAGAGCAAGCCTTTAGTCATGTTCAAGGAGCCGCTCGTGAACAAGCTGACTGTCCTGCTTTTTGTTGCAGACGTAGGTTATTTCGTGATAGCCCCTATGTTATTGAACACGACGATCTTATCACTTGCTTCTTTGCGATTTGGAAAAGCGAAACCTAGAGCAATCGTCCGTTAGGACTCAGCCTTGACCACAGCTTTGATGGGACCCCGACGGGTCCCTTACAAAAAATTATTCATTTATTTATTCCACTGTCGAAGATGAATGGCTCTGTGTCACATGGTGTTACCCTTGAACCTTACAAACGCAGAAGCTGACAGCATGTGAAAACCCACTTATACTAATGAAGGATTTATACAGATAATCCCCCGCATACACATAAGCACTAAATTCATAAAGCGCATCAACGTATAAATAAATATTGTACAAATAATCATAAGACTAACGTCCGCTAATGAACTTTTAACTTATAACAGGAGTTTTGAATGACAGTTAAAGGTGTTGATCAGCCAAATTCCCCTCCCAGAATAGTGTTTCCGACGAATATGCGGCAGGACAGTTACTCTTGGTAAGGCTTCTGAGCAACCAGCTTGGAATAGTTCAAAGAATATCAAGTTACATTCGCACTGGCCATCTTAGGCCTTGGAGTGCCTAGTGCCAGTTCGGCCGTCGATTACAACGTGTGACACAGCAGGGTGGGATGATGGACGAAGACCAGCGCGTGAATTATTTGATGATTATAGCGGACCTGCAAAACATCTACAGTACTGTCTCTTCCGTTCTCCCATCTTTGTCCGGTGTCATAGTGGAGTCAAGATGGCCGGAGGCGAGAGCGGGCACAAGCGGCTGACACAGCGTGAACCTGTGCCAGGGCGTGCCAACGCACCCCCTGGTACGCGCACAGTGCACTGGGATTTAGCACAGCATGCCACGGAATTTTACACACACCGATAATCTAGAACTCGTAAGCTTTCCATATTAAAGAATATGCGCCGAAAGTGTCGATCCCAATGACCATCCCTTTTCTAAGACACCAGTTCACTATCAGAGTCGCTTGGTCGTCCGGCATGGAGATTAATTGCGCTGACAGTGCCAACAAGAGTCAATCTGAGAGTGAAGCCTGCATGATCACGTCCCTCACGCAAAACACCAAGGGGATGAACTGATCGGAGCTCACTCGTGTAAGAGTGGTGGAGGGACCACATGGAGGAGTAGGAGTCAAAGTACACGATTCCAAATTGTGTGAGTTGTCCTAATTCTGTGCTTCTGGTAAGTAGTGAGGGGGGGGATCATGTGTGATGTATTCTCTAGTGAGGAGATTTTTAGTGACTGTGCCTAATCAACTGAGTTCTACATTTGACTTTCATGAATACCTATGTGGCCGAGTAAGTCCATACCGTGACTGAATATGCGTGGGCAATTTGGACAGCCAAGATGGGTGAGAAGGGTGTATGCTAGTGCTCCATTCACCTGCTTACCAGTCTGTGGGCGATGGTTTCGCAAGTGACTGAGACTTCATCCAACAAAAAAGTCAAGGTAAACGAAATCGAGGAGAAGTTGCAAAGTGAGATAAAGGCCACATAATTCCTTAGTACTTTGTATACTGTAACGCGATCTCCCACCAGCCTAATGTACAACTTTGTATATTCGACTGTTTGTCAGGATTAACTTATATGCGAAGCTGTTCAAAGGATATTTTACTTTTTGACGTACATTACTGACACTGGTGAATTTCACAGACTTGTACGCCCGTATAACCCTTTTTGAGTAAGCATGATCCATTCAAATTTTTGTACGCAGTTATTTTTGAGCAAAATTTTGATAGCTCATAGTTGCAGTTGCGTTGTTTTATTTGAACTGTATTGGGAGCACGCTCGTAACCCTACATAGGTCAAGCCATTTTCAAACCTCATGGTCTAGGGGGTCACAGAAAAGGGATGTCAAAGTATTCTCGTCGAGAATACGAATGAAGTCCAGTATAGACTCTAAGCTTCAGAATTTGCTATCCACGCCAAGTCTGGACAAATATTTCTGTTCTAATTAGTCTTTTTAATTAGCTGTAATTTTCGTTTCTAAGTTCGGCGAATAGGTACAGGATTTTTAATTTTCAAGTTGAAACCCATCCTTTGCAGTTGGAAACGCGATTTATACGACAGCCGAGGTCTTAGCGGTATGTTGCTGCTTCCGTGTTAGAATCTGTTCGGATGCAAAACCCGGGCCACGATAATGCGGATATGCCGATAGGTGCCTCCTGAACTAATTGATTGTTAGTATCTATAAGACAATTGAATAACTTAAGTATTTTCATTTGCCCGGGGTCCGAAGTGGAGAGTTCCGTTGTCTTTTCAAATGAAAGACTGAGTGCCTAGCAGGCTAAAGAACGATTGTAAAATGCAAATGCCGTCAACGTAGGGCCACTCTTCTGACGAAAAAAGCAAAATCTTAACCGCATACCTATTATTAGTGCTTTAACTGAGGCTTGTGGGCAAGCGCGACGTACAAGTAACCTCGTGATGCTTCTGGCAGTCTAGAGGACATTGAGACGATGCGTCGTCCTCATGAGGTCGGCCCTTCCATAAGGCGTGTCCGCAGAATTAGTTTAAGCCATGAACTTTTGTCTCGTTTAGTTTTAATTTCCAATCCTGCGGTTGGATTACATCTCTGCACTGCAGTTGTAGTGACAACGTTCATTTTTGTCAGTACTACATTAAGCACATCCTGACATTTCTGCATGCCCCCGTAATCATGACAAAAAATTCTCGTCGCAGTTGAGGGGCGCTTGCGTGCGAGCACCTGTTCACGGTAAAGCCGCTTTCTACTGACGTAAACGTGCTCATTTAATTTTTGTGTCTACTGGCTGCCCGGTCGCGTTATTGTTGAGTTTTGCCTCCTAGCTTCACCTTGCGGCATCACTAATTTGGAGGTTAATTTTAGGAAGGCGAACGATTATACAAAATATGACTGCCGATAATAAACCAGCGCCTCTACCACAGGATTTCACTCCCAGAATAGGCGGTGATGGTATTAACTGCATCGAATTTTTACCACGCGCCCAGAATAACGTTTTTGCCATCGGGACATCTGGCGGACGCGTCCGATTGTAAGTTCGAGTTTTTTTTGACCAGATTGCAAAATTTAGTTACGAGGTTCTCGAAGGGGATTGCAAGTGCATTTATCAAAAAAGATGGCACAAAACAGTCCGATGTCTAGAATTCAATAAGCACTCACCGAATCATCTAATATCGGCGTCAGCTGAGTGCGGAATGAAGATTCATGACGTTGAAACAGGACAGAGGGTTGCCTACTTTCGAAGAACGGAGGATACAGCTCCATATTCTTGTTTGGCTTCTGTGGCCGACCATCGGTGGGTTTCGGGTGATGACGGCGGTTCAGTTAAGGTAAATTTCTTGTCAGCTGTGTTTACTCGTAGGTATGGGACGACCGCCAGAAGGACGGTATTTGTTGCAAAATGAAACTGGATGCTACTGAAGATAGTGAGCTGGTGGCCATAAACGATATTGCGGTTGGCTCTGATGCGCAAGGTACACTCCTAGCGGCAGTGGACAACGGGTGTCTTGTCGCCTTCAATATTCGTCGACGGCGGAGAGAAATGACATCAGAGCCAATGGGTTACAGCGCTCGCGCAGTGATTACTATTAAGGTTAGTTCGGACCACTTAATTGTGTTAAAAACTTTTGATGTTATTTTATATTGCCACTCGTCTAAAAACCTTTTATTCAGATTAAATCCACCATAAATCACTGTCTTTATTTTACAGAACGTTAGGACCTTCTAAATTAAGAAAAGTGGTCTTGATGGGACGCCCGTTTTTAGTTCCCTACCTAGCTGTGGTTTGAATATTCATCCCGAATACCGCCGCCCCGAGGCCGACGTATATATCTAGAACGCTGGTAACTATCTGAAACCGGATGCAACAAATTGCGCTACTGGCAGCATCAATGCTTATAACTAAGCACTTTGCGCTTGTCTTCGGAGTAGAGGCCTGGCGGGAATGCTGGTCCGTCCAGTCGTCATCGCATTTGACGGAGAATTATGACATGGTAGCCTTCGATGTACAATTTATGTAGACGTTACCGTTTTATATTCCCTCACTGACTTTCGTGCCCTTGGGCGGTTATTTATGAAAAACTCCCATTCCTTTTATTGGTATTGTTGGAAATTTGCATTTCTGACATTGATTATCTTTAGATACTCAGGATATCTCTAGATTTCTCAGGATACTCTGTCCTGAAGAACTGCATAATTTACTGATTATTTGAGAATTCGTGCCAATGCAAGCGTAATTGAATATCCAGCGTTTTCATATACTCTGACAGAGCTTGTCACTGGGTTGACGTATACTCAGTTTGCAATGATCGAAAGGTCTCATCAGAAAAATATTGGGAAACCGAATGTAACCATCCTAAATGGCGAAATTTGTTTGTCAAAACTGAGGGATGAACGTTTTGCAATCGTCTAGAAAAAAAATTTGGATCAAACGTCTTCAGTATCTGGGGGTTACTCATAAGGCATGCCTCAATTTACGAAATATCTTTGCTCACCGGCAAACCGGCCGTAGTGCATCGACCAAAGCTTCCAACTAATAATTGACGACTTTGGCTGGACGAGGACAATATAGAAGTACCAAAAGTAATATCACATTGCTTAGAAATAACGATTTTCTTGGGAAAGCAAAAGTACCAAAAACGCAAAAAGTCATGTCAAAAGAGGAAACTCAGGCTTTAGAAATACGTAAAGCTGTCTATGCAAATAACAGTAGATAAGACAGCACAAGTAGGACAACGTTAAGAAATAGTCCTTCTGCAGTTAACAATAGAATCACTGCAAAGGGAAGTATGACGGTTGAGCGACTGTCCGTAGTTTAAACATAGATTCTAAAACGGCGCATAAAAGCGCTGGTGGGCTAAAGTAACAAAGGCCTGAATCAAATGAGCCAGAAAGCAATGTCCGAAGAACGGATTGGAGACGAGCGAGACCAAAAGTGTCTGTGGTTTTCCGAAAACTGACAGCCAAATGTTTCCCTACGGCTCGTCGTTTCGCTGCAAGGCACGCTTACCTACGGACTCCCTAGATGACTTGTCAAGCATTTTAACAAAGCATTTTAACTCAGAACACGTCCTTATTTTCAACTCATTCAAAAAAAAACTCAGGAGCGTCAAAATAGCTGCCGACAAGAAACGGTCTCCTTTGACGTCTCTATCCACCTCCATTCCCAAAGAATTGACAATGTGGGTCTTCAACGACCTACTGAATAGAAGGTACGACGAAAAGAAAAATATTTTTAAGGGAACCATACAATAACGCTACTGGACTACTGCTTACTCACGTTCTTCAAGTGTAACGGCCACATTTACGAAGAAATCTCGGAACCCCGATGAAATCCCCGACTGCCTGTCTGAGACTGTCATGCGAGAACTGAAAACTGGGGTCTTTCAGCCATACAGGCCAAAATTCCAGATGGGCCAGGTAAACAAAATCTTTCTCATCCTACGCTAAGACGAGTACGACAACTGCATAAGGGAATGAAACCCGATTTTCCCACAAATTCAATCCATAATAGAGGAAGGAAAGGGCTGCGTGCCCCTTTCCTTGACTTCAAGGCATCGAGGCTGGAAGACAGAGCTCTCCAGACTGGTGTCTTTCGAAAAGCGACGAACGTGGAAAAAATTCTTTACCGCAACAGCAACCACCTGCCGCACAAGGGCAGTTGCGTCCGGTCACTTTTCGTCGCATCAGCACACGGCAACGCAGAGGCCGGGAACCCGCGAAGGCGTAAAACCCTGCGTCATCTCTTCCCTGCTAATGGATACCCTTGCAGTTTCATAAACAAAAGATGGTACCAACTGCACACGAGAACCTTCGGTGAGCAAAAACAAGGACCCAAAATCTTCCGTATTCTTCCCTATGTGAGGAGCATCTCCGAAGCCACTGAACTCATGCTAAGATCGCTAAACGTGGGCGTTGAGCGCCGACCGGATGTCACTGCCTGCCGCGCACTCATGCAGCGAAAGGGTCGGCTACCACCTCTGGACTCGTCAGTCGTCATTTACCACGTAAACTGTCCGGACTGTCCGACTAACTACTGCGGCCTGTCCGACAAACAACTGAGAGCGCGCATGCATAAGCATGCTTTAGTCGTAGATCAGAGGGATGCACAATCCCACGGCGCGATGCCCAGTCTGGAAAATAATTATAGGTTAATAAACTGGCTTTGTCCAAGTGCTCGTCAGAACCGAAGGAGAACTAGTGAGAAAAATAACCGAAGCCTTGCAATCGGACGCCATTCCGATCAACAGCGCCATAGAAAGCCACCAGGCGCCACTTACGCACGAGAGGAAGGCTGATAAGAGAGAGTAGTAGAACTATCAGGAATGAGTGCGAAAGACCTGTTTAGACCATATATTTCTCGTTTCGTCTATCACCGACTATACACTGGAGTTTGAAAGTGAAACGTCATATGATTAAATGTTCTTCCACGTAGGTCACCTAATCGATCCGAAGGTGTTACACACCTCGGAATTGGGTATGCCTGGCCAGCGACGGCTAATAAGCCATTGCAGTTTCCCTTGTCTTTGTCGGTAGTGCTATTCTGCCTGTTTCACGCGCCGTCGTGCGGCTGTTGGAGGGGCTCGAGAGAGAGCCTCGAGGCACAACGGAACGGCTGAGTCCCATCCGATGATGTGCTTGAAAGTCGATGCTTCTTCGCTTTTTGCGCCAGAAAGCGACCGCTGTGTCCACAACTACGCATCAATTGCTTCTCGTCTCTCCCATTTTTCCTTGAGATTTTTGCACATGACTTCTAATTCAGTGTACCGATTGGCGCATGACCCGTCTGAGTGCATTGCTTCGAGAAACTCCGCCACTTTGTTAGGGCAGACGCCGACAATGCGAGTTTTTCCCACGCAAAGGTGTGCCCGGTGTCTGGTGTTTGTATGGCCACATGAGGCAGATGATCTCACTTCTTAATTGCCTGTTGACGCACGTGGATGCCTGTAGAGGCGAATTCTTCCGTTTGGCTACAATGCACGGCTTCGCAGGCACCAGATGGAATCTTGTGGACGCTTTCTGTCTTATCAAATTAGTCCACACTATCCTTACGGCGTGCAAGCTGAATGCGTAATGTGGTCGTCGGTTTATGTCCTACTCGTATTTGGGTCTTTCGTCAAGTGTCTCTGAATGAGTTCACATGCGCCTAATGTATGGAGGAATTCTCCAAGTATATGCTTTGAGCACTTGATTGGCACTAGCTAATTTCTTTTCATTAAACTCTTGTTGTTTCATGCATCTATGTACAGAATCTCTAGGGTAACCATTCTGGGAAAATAACTCAAATGGGTAATTTAGCACGACCCCGTAGCTTTTTTCGTCAAAACAACATGTTTCGCTCACTGATGCAGACTTGACGGTACTCCGCGTGTGAGAGATTGGGCTGTTGCTCTCATAATATGAGATGACTTCCGCGCAAGTTTCTTTGCGGCGAACAGTTGTGTGTAGTGTTCTGTAAGTCCTTCCCAGCTAGAAATGGGTTTTTTTGTCAACTCCTCTATGCGGTTTCTCGTAAGTGAATTCCAGGGAAACATCGAGCTCGTGATTTCGAAATTATTAGGCCTTAAATTCAGACCCTTAAAAGTCGTGCCGGACCCATAATTCAGTCTTCTGCACTTAGTAATTTATGAAACTACTGGCTTGTTTTTCCTATAGAGTTCACATACCAGAAACTGCGTATATATGCAGTATGTTATTACCGACATATATATATCTTGGTGATAGTTTAAGTTCTTTGGGTGAACGCAAATTTTCGGTCGTGGTCCTCCACGCTGCCTAGATTAGTCGGCGTTTGTGCCAACGCGTCTGTCGCGCCCCCTCATCCGGGGTCGGGTTAACTCTCAATTAACTTATTCACGTAGACCTAGAACAGCCCTTAAGTTGGACAAGTTATTTGTTAACGTGTTTTTTGATTTTGTCTCATAGAACAACAAGAAAGTGCTGGTTGGAACCGACGAGGGTGTTGTTCTCACCTACAATTGGAATGAGTTTGGCAGTATTTGCGACCGATTCCCCGTTCGTACCAGTCGTACGCGTTTAAGTAGCAGCAATTTGACAAAGACCTTTGAAAGTGGCCTGCCGTCTGTGGAGAAATTTTCGAAGATCAACGAGGATATCGTTATTATTGGAACCGATGACGGTGCGCTAAGGTACGCCCTGCTAAAGTTTACAACCTTTTTTACATCCGTGCTTCTTCTGGACGACGTTGCGGGTGAGAGTATGCCAAAACTCAGCCCGCAGAACACTGGGTTATGTTTTAAACATAACATTATTGCAATGGAACGTGGGAGGTTTTCAGTCTCTCGCCGTATTGCGGCCGTTAGAATACCCGCTGTTTGCATTTTCACCTTGTGTTTTAACCCTTTGCGTCATTCCCCCCGAGTTCTGGACCTGAAAGACATTTTGAGATAGACTTATCTCAAATCGACTGACTTTTGACCCCTTAATTGGTATTAAATTTTCGTAACTGCATTTGCCTTACGATTTCCGTTACCGCTGTTATCCCACTGCCGTTATACACCCGCCATGCGAATCAGACAAGTGTATCATTTCGGGCCACAGGTAAGAAGGAAAAACTTCCTTGCTGTCATGGAACACTGACTGCCATTTTCGGATGGAAAAGCTGTTTACGTGAGGTTGCAAAATCAGTTGCCAGTGCCCATAATCCCGAGTTAATTCTCACCCGATAACATGCCAACTTGTGACTAAACATCTTTCCAGCTAGCCATGCGAATGGCACTGGGAAAGTAACTGAGTAAAAGTAACAAATAAAATGAATTTTACTTTATGGAGTGGGCACACGAATTCTATTCATGCACACACCTACCCTATGGGGGATTTCTTATCCCACAAACGTAACAGTTAATGAAGGAGGGTGTTTTGATTCTTAAAAGTTTTTGCTCTTGAGACCATGGAACTTCTCATGATTACTCGTGTAACCCACCATTTCCAAGATTAATAAATGCGCGCAAAGTCGACAGAATGGTCGTTATCTGTTGCTATACTTTGAGCAATGGGTCTCGGTGTAGGGACGCGTTGGGTTATAGGAAAGCAGTTTGTAAGTTTTGGTAGTAAGTTAGGACACTGTTTTTCTCTAGATACGTGGATATTAATCAACATTCCTTAAGCCGGAGTAATTTTATTGAGGGACCAAAATAAAGGCGTGGTTTCTCCAAACGTAGTCCAAGAGGCGTTTTTGTGCATCCCTTCTATGTAGTTGGGTTGGATCAAAAATAAGTTGAAGCATATGGCACTCATGCAGTCATTGTTTTACGAGTGTAATTTACCGAGGTGGATGGAAGGGGTTTCACTAAATGGCCAATGTTGTACCATGACCCTGGTAAAACATTTCCTACTAATCGGTCTTGTAACCTCGCCGTAGTTCTCTTTATCTGGAGGTATATCGAACTTCCAAAGTCATGTTTTATGCTTTCCGGCGCATCCTGCATATTTTATCGAACGTTTCGCTTTGAGTTGCACCAGCCGTCCTCAAAATAGCGCCATTTTGTATATGTCTTTAGGACACAAACTTGAAGCCAGAAGAGAAGGTCAATCGGCATTTGCCTTTGAGACATGTCGACCAGCTTTTGGGGAAGGCGTTAAGTCCTACCACACTTCGCTTAGATTTATGGGCACGTTTGGTGGGACATAGTGGCTCAAGGCGTCGTGTTGCATGGGAGAAAACGGACCCAGAGAATTTTTCAGTGGAAAGCGCTAACAGCAACGTTCAGAATGGTGAACGTAAAGCGGACCTTTCTGCCTTCCGTGTGTGTACCTAAAAAGTTCAAATAGCACAAACAGGAGAATTAGCGCTGCGCGTTCGTCATGTTCTTGACTGTATCCCTCATTCATAGTGAGTTTCATTTAAGCACTTATCTTTGGCAATAAAAGCGCTTGAAACAGACAAAGGAGTTGGAGAATCAACACAGCCCAAAATATTTGCCGCGGCACGGACCCCTTCCACCCCTGGGTTGTCGTAAGCACGCCTACAAATTGTGCAAATTAATCGATGCTGCTTTTTCGTGATCCGAAGGATGAACATGAACACTTGCCGCTACTTCTGAGATCGGCGGTTCGAAGCTCATAGCAATCGTTTTTGATTATGCGAATTCTCTATTTCCCGTAGTTTGACTTATTAAGTGTCCCAGTCGCTTAGGTTGCTGCCTGTGCTGCACGTATGACGGATCATCGACCCGCACTTATCTTTCAAAAGGCACAATGAACACTTTTTCAGGAAAACGATGTCAAGTGGACAGAATGCCTCTAATGCGCTTAACTATTCTCATTCGGTCCAAAGTTTTCCCATACGTTCTACTTTCCGGACGTTCAGAATGCCCTAGAATGCTTGGGCGCTTCCCCAGTTTCAGACCTCCTAGGTCCTAATCTTTGTTGCTCCCGTGTTCGCATGTTTTCTTTTCTCTCTCACAGTGCTTTCAACATTTTACCAAATCGGATGATCTCTTGTCTGGGCTGGCACACGGGTAGTTCAGAGGAGAACTTCGAGCAGATGGGTGGTGATTGTATGAGTCTCGCTGTTTCTCCGGATGCGCAGTTCGTCGCGAGCGCCTTACCCTCCAGTTCGAACTTACGCTTCTGGTCTCTGGAGGGCATCGAGTCGGACGCAGCTCGAGAGGTCGATGCCCTGAAGGTACCCAGAAAGCGACGCTCTTCCTCTGCTTTGGTTTCATCAAAGACTTCCAAATCTCGTGCCACATCCCGCGAAATGGACCGCAAACGATGCGATTTCCTCTCTGGTCTCCTTCCTTCAGACCAGGAATCTGACGAAAGTCGCGACGCCGAAGAGGACAGTGACAGTGATGCTGACAGCAGTGAGGACTCTGGGGACAGTTAGTGATCGTCCTGTTTACCACCGTTGGTACAGTATTCGCCACTGTGCACTTTTATTCCTGTATTGGCGCGTCTTTGTGAGGCAGCCAGGGGAAGTAGCGTGATGGCGCTTCTCCGGTTGCCCTTTGTCTGTTAATACACACTGTGTCGAGGAGTAGTGGACCTACAGTGAACCTCGTCAGTTCCATTTCTGTATTCCAAGCCCTGCTTTCCGAAATACTAGACTGTTTGAACGAAGTCTGCATCGACATTTTTCTGTACTTGTTTTTTGCCAACATTTTTTTCCAATTCGGGTCCATTTTAAACATTTGGATGCCTTGTTAATAAATACCGAGATGGTCGGTCTCTGGACGTCTTCATCCTTCTGTGCGATTAGTACTTTGATGTGGTCATTGGTCTCTTTTATCACTGCTCAATGACGTGACCAGTTTTGGTTTTCAGAAGGTTGTCGGCATACTTTATTTGCAAAGTGGGGGTTATAACATACTGCCTATATCATGCGCTGCTGTGCGGCTGCTGATTGGACTCGAGACAGAACCCGTAAGGCACAACGGAACGAGTGAGTCTCGTTAGAACGATGGATGAGCGCCCCCTACCACAGCTTATATGTACAAAATCCAAACAGGACTAAGTTTGCGAATAGACACCATCTAGAGTAATCACCTCCTGGCCAATCACACCAGCACATCTGATTGAACTGTCCTGGTGCGCTTTCGAGGTCGCCGATTGGGGTCCTCACAAAATACAGCAGCATCCTAGGCTAGCAGCATTTCGAACAATCGTCGGCGGCGGAGGTTGGAGAGTCTATCTTGGAGTAACGCTCACTCCCACAAAAGCTTGTGCAGTTCGAGGACGGGACTGTTTTGCGCAACACGTGACTGTCTGAGACGGAAGAAGGGCTCGCTGGAAGGAATTTTTCGGGTTACTGGCCCCTGAGAGCGCAGTCGGTCAGTCACCGGCAAAGCGTCTAGAGCGTTTAAATCTCGCCTCTAAACCTCTCAGTAATTCTACTTTTGTCAGCAGCGATACTCTCTACGTACCCCACATGGGGTTGGGCGCAGCACCGGTGACTTGCTCGTTAATTAGTTTGTAGTGAGGCAAACTTTTGCGACACAGTGCCTCCCTCACTGGCCTTGTTCCGGTGACAAGTTGACTGCTGGTGACCTCAGTGGCCGTCTACGCGAGCCGCACGATACACGATTCCCACCACGTGTTCCAGACCACAGTAAGGATTGCATGGATCTCGCGTTCAGCAGAGTGCCATGTCGCGACTTTTGGCGTGTGGTAGATTTAAACGCTTCAGATTTGTTATGGTAAGTTATGCGCTGATGCTTCACGAAAATGGGTTTCCAGCTGTCGACCTCACTGCCTCTCTCGTGCACCAATCGACTGTCCCAGCCTGTCAGCCATCTGGTGTTGGACTTGGTCGCAGTGGCGGTCGCGGCATGAATGCTTGCGTCTATGTCGTGCCGCCGGGCGTATACACGGCGATAATTATGAGCTGGCGAGGACTTGGCGCAGTCCGATAGACTAGTTTTGTGAGTCAACCGATTACATTTACGGCGCAACTCTCAGTAATGCGTAACAATCCGTGAACTCGGAGCGACCTTTAGCACTACAGACGCTACGCCAACAGCGTTCGCTGACGCCTTAAAATGAATGCAATAATTGAAGCCATTAAGGCGGAAGTTGATGTGATCCGGATGTCACCACTCACGAGACGCAAAATATGAAACCCTTAGCCGAGATAAACGAATTCTTCCAAGCTTCGAAGCGTAAAAATTCCCACTGCCGTCTGATTTGAGTCGCTTTACAGTTGTGACAAGCCTGACTACCAGAACAAAACCGAGCTTCCTCGATGACCGGCAATCTTACAAGCCTCGTCAGGACAGTTAGATGAGAGATCCGGTCAGCCAACTAAAAAAAACATCCCGGCAACACCCCGGACGGTGAGGTAGTCGCGCTCTGCGACCAACCCCACCGGCCCTGTCGCGACATATTTTTACGTCTTGCTAAAGATGTTATCCTTGGGTCCCTCTGTGGGGTGTCACTCCGTTTTCGTATTCTACAACAACTAGCGGTGAGAATTATGAGCGAACTTCCGGCTGGGCGCTACAATGAGAGGAACCTCTATCGAATTCCTCTGATGCCTACTTCATTTACGCCGGACAGATGTGTGAACACATCAAGGGCGCTCTTATGGGCTCCCCTATCAAGTTTGGCTGCCGTGTCGTTCCGCCAACAGACGGAACACTTAGTGTTCATTAGGAAACAACCGAGGTTTTGGGCTTTAAGGAAAAATCCGCCTGTGGTAAAGCGTCAGCTCACGCCTAATCGCGCCTTCTTCATTGTTGTCAGGAATACCGGACAATTTCAAAAAACCTACTTTGAATACTGCTTTAGCAGGAAAGGTTGGCGTGCCAAGTCGAAATAGCGACCACAGTCCACGATCGCTACCGAAGTCTATGACGTTGTGATCCGGAAGTTCGCCAATCAATGTCCCATTCCCTTGCAGTTACTGGCGTGGAAACCACGGTTGGTACGGAGGCCATTTTAAAGCATGCCCAAGAAATAATTATCAAAGGGACCCCGAAAAATAAAATAAAAACTGTAATCGAGTAATCAGAGCAACGCGTCTGGCTTCGGCTCCGGCAATATGTAGAAAACTTTTTAAGTCAAATATGGGTACTGCTATATTTTTTCAGTCACCGTTTGTAACCGGTGAAATAAATCGGGAAAGGCAATGAAAAAGTCAGCGAAAATCAGGTTTTCGCGAAGTCACATTACTGACAGTCAGTATACGGGCTTGTCAATTCGACAGATATGCGACACCGGGTGCAAAAATATCCTGTAAGACGCCACCTCAGGGTCCGTATCTGTTTCGAGGTGGCCGGCCACGTTCCGCTCCACGTTGTAGATGTGGAACGAGTGCATGTGCAGGCCCAGATCGTTCTTAATGAAAGAAAAAACAATCAGTTAAAATTAGGCGATAGATATAAGAGTACTGAGAAACGGCGGAAGCTTTCCGTTCTGTTTGGCCTTTCACAGCTGAAAAAACCTAGTTATCGTGGTCACACTTCAGTGTTGGGTCATGGATAGGAACTATCGCACGGGCGATGGTTACTCGCACTATATGTGTGCCGAACTTCCTTGAAGTCCTCCTGGCTAGAAGTCAATAAAAGTGCACGTTGTTGAGCGTGGGACCGCGTACTGCTCGGCATGGAATTTTGACAGATCAATTTTGCATCAAGAACTCTTTTTATAGACGCTATATAACATTACTTGGGAGCACTAAGAACGATGTGTCACGAAAATGTCACCTGCTGTGGTGCGTTAAGGAAAAGAGCTTACGTTCAAACATGATCGACTATCACGCGGCTTTGACCGCTGCCGGTTGGCGGAACTGACTAAACAAGTTCACGTGCCAGTCGCCACAAGTGGACGGGACTTTTAGTAAGACTCGTTTTCTGTTTAACATAAGCGTGTATTTTTCACAAACGACCAGAAACATTCCGACCATTTTAGTTCTCGCCAACAGTCAGCTGGCCAAAGCGAGAGTTCTACTTTGCTGGATCTTGCGTTTGGGAGTGTAAAGGTATAGATGGGCAGCAAACGCGGGCGAAGACAGAAGCATCAGAGACGTTTTCAAGACATCCTTTTGGCCGATTATATCAAGCTTATCGGTAACTGTCCCCATGCTGGTACCAAGTAGGCTCGCTGCGCCTGGATGAAAAGCGTGGTAAAATTCAGTTACAGGAAAAGGCGAGGACTGATATCCGGGACATTGATTTCCTGCCAGTTTGGTGCTGAGGCCTGGTTTTCAGACAGACTGTGCACATTCAACCTGTAGATTGGGCATGATTAGACTGGGTGCGCGCATCTATTCCGTAAGGTAGTGTCCAGAGTCCGTATCCGATTACCTAGTCCAGGCTCCTAACTTTCACCGTCTAGACTACTCCGGAGGCAGTGGCGTGGGTGTGATTTCGGTTGCTCAAGAATTTTCGTTGGGGTTATATTCCTTTTTTTATTTCTTCATGAGCTATAGGATTAACAAAAATCTTAGAACAGTACAAAAGGAAGCAAGCACAAAATGGGAAAGTAGCCTCACCGGATCATGCGAAAGCACCGTGCCCATACCAATGATGGGTGCTTTCATTTCGAAGTACTTCAAGTAGGACTTAAGTTCGGGGAACGTGTGATAAGGTTCATGTGGCAGCTCAGACTAGAGGAAAGAGAAATACGCTGGTAAGTCGAGACAGCTTTAACTAAAAACGAGTTCATTTTAAGAAACATGGACTAGGCCTGATTCTCTGCAGAAGGATGTCAGCGGAAAATGGGACTGCTTAGACGGAATTATAGCTTAACACCGATTACGTGCATCATATAGCTGATGGGATGCTGCCATTATAGACGATCTTCATGTCGCTAAACTCGAGTTCTAGACTTGGCTCTGTCACCATCTTATGCGAGCTGCGCAAAGCCACGCTGGTGAGCACCAGAAATATGTGCAGTCAAAGGGCGTTTGCGCCAACTGAGGTTGGAAGGCAGTCAGAGTTTCAGACAACGTCGGAAACCCAGCTCTGGCGGAGGCACTTTCATAAGACATTTCGGACGATCAAATTTAAGACAACCACGACGTCCCGAATGGCACGGGATGTTCAGTATTTGCACAGTCGACTGTTTAATTCTGGTCAGAGTACTGTGGAGATCAGCAAATAGTACTCGATTCTATTTCATGTCCATCAGTGGCTGGTACCACGAACTTCCGATTCCCATAAAAGAACTACCCAAGTCACCAACGTAACAGTACACACCCTCAAAGCCAGTTAAACATCTGACTATCGACAAGAATATACAACGTTTTAAATGTCTTAACTAGGATTGGGAATGCACGTACAAATACATGATACTTGGCACCACTATTTTCCAAAAGGAAGACTCCACCGAGCGCCATCGGTTCCTCTCCACGACCATAGCGTGACTGGAGTGCTTCGTGAAGGAATTTGCCGATTGAGCCATCACACAGTCTGCGCTTAGCTATGACCTCGATAACCTGAAAAAATAAGTTGACACATACACAAGGAAAATTTAAGACTGTTACTTAAATGCAGGCAGAGATAACATTCGGCAAGATATGGTTTGGTAGCCCCACCCGATGGACACCATATTGTTAGGGTTGTGGTTAAGGGTTAGGGGTTAGGCTTTAGGACTAGGGGTTATAGTTGGGGTTAGGATTAGGGAAATTATTTCTCAAACATTCAAAGTATAACCGCGCATTCTCAATGGCTTTTCTTTTGCATACAACTACTTTGTCTTGTCGCCTATGCGTTCCCCGGCCCTACCTGTAAGAACCCCTATTACCACCGACCCCGTATTAGAAGTGTCCGTGATTTGTTTCCTTCAGGCTGGGTTACATAACCACATCCGATCCAACGTTCTATTTTTATCCGAGTTTATTCACGACGTAATAGCACAGAAAGAGTTTTGGTCTCGTCATAAAGCTTATCTTGATTCTATGGGACTGCTTTGCTGTGATTTTCCGAAAACACCTTAGGTGTTCGACTTCAGTACTTAATAGAAGTAATGAGCAGGAAATAAAGCTTTGCATAGTAATCAATGTGAAGCAGTGTCATTTGAACAAGAACCTTTGAAGTATATCGTGATCTTTTGAAACTTCAGAAGAATAAGGGTAATATACTCGCGCTTGATGAATCCAACGGCAAACAGTTCAAGCTTTTGTTAGAGGCACTGTGACGTGATTTTCACCCAGGGACATTTGAGACCGAAGGTTGAAGCGATCTCACATTCATTTTGAGTTATCAAAAGGGCTAACCGAGAACTTATGATTTAACCCGTTAAGATAGGTCATGTGTAAACAGAGAGGAATATTAGACGAGTTTCACATGCTTCTGATGCATAAAACAAGTCCGCGCTTGCCTATGTTTTTTGTACCACCACAATATTTGCTGAGAAAATGCCGTGAGAGACAAATACGAAGTAAGATAGGAGGAAGCGGAGGGAGAAGGCCATGCAAAAGAAGGAAGGCTCAACGGTGCTTCATATACACGGCCAAAAAACTAGTTGGCCAGTTTATCAAAGAACAAGTCCACAGACGTCATGCATGCCAACAGAACGACTAATAGTCTTGAGAATTGCATTTTTCATTGATATTTTTGGCAGATTTTGAATAATTCATATTGACCCAACTGCCAAAAATATCAATGAATTACGTGAGCCTAGTAGTCATCTGGTGGATTCTAGGTGAATTACTTAGGAAATCCTGCTTGGGCAGTCAACTTACTGTATCAGATTTGGTGGATTCCAGACGTTGCAGTAGGTTGGGCGGGTAACTTGACCCAAGTGTGATAAAACTCGCGTCGTCCGGCGGGGCCTCGTAGCTCAGGTGGTTAGAGCGTTGGCTGTACTAAAGCCTTCCCCCTTACTGCGTGGGTTCGAATTCCACCGAGGCGCCGAGTTTTTCACAGTTGGGTCAATATGAATTGCATTTTTCTTTGCCGATTTCCTAGTCAGTGCATTCAACAAACTGTTTTTATTAACAAAAACCGGCTTGTCGGTTTTGCCTATGTTTTGACCATCTTGATCGATCATAACCTAATTAGTGAGCCCGATCTTAGTCATAAATGGTGTTTAGCGCTGCTATTGAAGGCAATCAGCAGGAGACTTTCGAATACTAGAATAGCTTTCACCCAGCATGTACTGAAGGAGAGTTGAGTAAGCAGCTCAGAAGATCAGGCGGAAATACCAACAGATACGTGCAGTGATAGTGCTGGTAGTCACAGGGTTAGCCAAGGCAATCCTATGCTCACTGATGTTGTCAAGTTAAAGCCTTCAGCTACCCTGGCCCAAACAGAGCACCACAAGTTTCCACCTGCATCCCCATGCATCACCTTAGAGCAAAGAAACAGAAACGCATTCCTCTGGCACATTTTTCCCACCACTTGGCCTCAGTACTAGATATTCCTTGCCAAGAGTTTGGCATGTCCAGTCAGCAACCCTAATCGGTGATGTCATTGGTCTTCTTCATCTTTACTTTCTCCCGGACTAAATATCATCGCAAAAATTAGCCAAAACAATGAGATACGTCAACAAGTCCGCATTTGTAGTCCCCAGTCTAGAAGACCGCGAGCATCCCAGTATATTCACTATTAGAGTGAAAATGTCATCTCGGACGTAATAGGATAGGCCTCTAGTGGGATATAATCGTTATAAACGACCAAGCTGCAGGCAGTACCAGAAGGCAGTGGACTAGCCAGTTGGACTTGCACTTAATCTTTTGGAGAATACGCGTAACGGACCTTGGTTCATATTTTGACTTAACTCGACCAGCTATTTTTAGGAATAAGAAAGACCTTGCTGCGTCAATAGAGGAGGAGGAGGATGGTGCTAGAAGGTGCGTCTTTCTGATTCAGACAGTTTCCTCATCATGTCCTCCGAATGATGTCGGGCAAACGATTGAGTTTATATGCGCTCCAACGCTTCGTTGGCTATCGATCGTCGTAAGGTTGTGCATCTCACTTTTTTAAAATATGTAACTCTCTAACGCGGTGGAAACTACAGCAGGGGAATTTACGGGTGTTGTACTATCTAAAGCCTCTCAGTGGGCACCAATTGTGATAAAAGATACCTATATTTAATGTCAAATGTTTAGGTTGATTCGATCTCTTCTTAGACAAAACCCTCTGTCCCGTGTTATAGCAGCCTCGGACAAGGGAGACTGGAATGGCCATTTCTGGCTTATTAGCCGTCGTCAGCCAGTCATACCCAACCTCCAAGTGTGGCACACCCGAGGCTCGAACTCGCGACTTGTTTGTTAGAAGTCCACGCCTCTAACTACTGAGCCACGAGCCCGTTGCCCTGTCGGTTTTCGATCGGGAATATACAATGGTAGGGGCGGTCACCGATCGTTCTTATGTAACTCAAACAAAGCAAACACAAGCAAAACTTATTGTGTTTGAAATATTGGAGTGGATCCGCTAGTGGGGGATAAGCACAAAGAGCATTTGGATCGGAATAGCAGTCTTCGAGTTTTAAGGTAGGGCTAATGAAATGAATACAGGGTATATGCCGAAATATAGTTTAGTAACACTGCTGACAAGAAAGGCATCAAGGAGTGATTATTTGGTATAACAAATAATTACGATCAACGAACCCAGCCCTCATTTCCTTCGGTGACGAAAAGTTGAGCACTTGAGTGAAACTTCGTATCCGTCGCCTTTATAAGGTTCGTAGCACTGCCCTATAAATAGGACCATCAAATGACTGCTTGAATAGACGCCGGTAGGGCAAAATAGCAGGTAAAACATCTGCTGCGAAGTGTTACAAGAAAAAGCGTCTGAGCTTCATGTAACATGAACAAACGTAGGACCTATAATGATGTAGTATAACAATTATCGGATTTTTCAGTTTGGCCGATGAAGATTACAAATCTACTGCAACAAAGACAGCTGCAGTGTGCTCGAATAATTACCACAATATTATTGACCGATAGTCAAGCCTGAAAACGGCGACGAGTCCGAGTTCTTAAAGTAGATTTAAATATTTTTAGTAACCGACAAAGGAAAAATCGAATATTTTTCGACGTAAGACGGTCACATTTTATGCAAAGCACAAACGAGGACTTTTACGTACAAAAAAGCTTGAGGGCTGACTGCGACGGTCAAGATTAGCCAGTGAGAGTTTTAAACCTTAATCGACTGACTTTGACTGTAATGTGCTAGACAGAGAAAGTTTACAAAATCAGGAGCGTTCCGACTAAAATATATCCAGCGTGGAGCATTTCCAGTAAGCCCAAAAATATAACAGGAGTGACGTTCACAGGTGTTGTCAAATTACGGAACGAAATTAAGACGTTTATATTGCTTTGGGCATATCTCCATGGCTATCATATATCATCATGCTGTCAACCATCGAATACTGACACTGATGTCGATAAAAACTATTCAAAATTGCATCATATTTTGGTTCAGCATACCTGGGTATGATTGTATGATACCGGAAAAAAATCCGGGAATCGATATTACAGACTCGGCTAAGTTCAAAAGAACCTGTTTTTGAACATATACGACCTGCACCGAAAGCCGAAATGTATACTGCCTTTAATTGGGAAAATAGGGCGTTATTTTTGACTTTCGGTTAATTATTCACAAGAATAATTATAGAAGATAAAACTATTTAACCTGTTTAATGCGTCTTATGCAAAACGACGTGGTCATCATTCGTAAGTCAGTAACAGTTGAAGTTTTCCGGTGTGTAAATTGGAGGATTTTTCCTATTAATGTGCCTTACTCCTTTCGTTCAAGTTAGATATTTTAAAGAAACGAACTAAAATTCAAAGGCATCGACACCACCCCAATTACATTATAAACAAAAGTCTCTAAAGATCAAAATATGAACTTACATTTTTTTCACTATATGCGTGCAGCGTTCGATTACAAGAAATGGAATCGTTGCAGTAACACAATTCGGCCACCATCTAAAAAACCCATTGCTGTAGATTTTAGACCATCTTAAAGTAAGTAATTAAATTAAATAGAGTCTGCATTGGGGACATGACAATGGGAAAGGGTTTAAATCATCGGTCGAGATAATTAGAACATCGAACCAAAAAGAGAAATCATGTAATGGTGGAGGGCAAAGGGACGCAAACTCTGTCAAAAAAAACTAATGAAGGCGACAACAATTTCTCTACAGATCCAAGTTTTTGTCATTGGACTACCATTTTGGGCAAACTACGCCGAGTATAGTCGCAATGTTTTTAACGCCTGCAAAAGTTTCCCGTAAGTTTTGATCCTGCCATGTCAGGTAAAGTAACCAATCTAAAAACACAGTGCAGTGCGTTCTGCGCACTTCCATATTAAAAGAGTGTAGAGAGGTCTACGATCTGGGTATAAGATAGGTGGTTTAACCAATAAATGTTTTAACGTGGGATAGTGGTCAGTAAGGAAAACTGAGTTCTACAGCTTCTGTTTGTGTCTTTTGACGAAATGCTGTCATAGCTGTCACGAAAAGTAATACGACGACACTATGGAGAAAAAAGTATAATCGATGCGTCTGAAGTGCACGCGTACTTTCATAAGCTTCACTTTTCTTAGCGAATATAGTTGGCATCACTTTCACTAAGAAGCATGGCGTCCAAAATGTAGTGATTTTCAACTGATCCTTTTAAAAACCAATAAGGTTATTACGCAAAAGCCGACGAGCTTATTCAGGTTTTTGCGGTTTAAGAAGCCTCCGTCAGATTGGTTTTTAATGTCAATTGCCTTAAGTTATCACAAGCAAAAGATCCAAAATTAATGCGGCTAGGAAAATCGGTAGTCAGTGTTGACTATTTGAGTATATTAATTAAATCAACGTGATATGAAGTATCTAGACGTTTTTTAGTTTACTTTGGTTTTTTTATTGGGATGTCCGATATAGCGAATACCAGTGCTCTGGCCAAAACTACAAAAATGCATCCAACGGAAATTAAAGAATGAACAGTCTGTAATGGGCATCATTCTCGACAACGATCTGCGAATCAGGCAGTCAATAGTTGGAGCGTTTGCTTAGCAGCTATAAGTCTGGATTACGACGCAAGCCCAGTGATAGAAACGCCAATTTAAAGTAATTAATATTGACAAAGGACATTTGCATCAGATAATGATCGGAAGGGTGAACGATTAAACGCCATCTAGATAGTCACTGTCCCTATAATTGAAGATAGCAACAAAGGGAACTGGGCTTTTTCTGCGCAAAACACTCAAGAAACTGTGGCTTGTCTGCCTTGGTTTTTACGAGAAATATCGCGAATTGCCTAATGAAGACGAAGTAGTGTGTTGACATTTGCATAGCAGAAGGGTAACTTGGTCCTCTACTCGATACACATAAGCTTACAACAAGCGCTCGAAATAGAAGATTAGTACTAAGAGGAATTCGCGCATTATTATTAAAAGCCTTGGAAATGCGAGCTTTCATCGTTTACCGAAAACCACCGAGCTGAAGTTTCAGAGATATGTTATGATAGAGCAATTCCTAAGCTCTCATAAGTATAAACCACCACTTGACGCCCAAAAACGCTACACTAAATAATTTAGATATCTCAAGTTAACGGAAAAATGCGAAGCGTAGCGCGAGATATATTTTAAAAATTCAAAGTGTATATTTAAACCGATTATTCGAAAATCCTAAGAATTCGCACCGTTTTCATTGTCCGGACTATAAAAATGGTAAAACAGTCGTCATTTAAGTATCAGTGATATAAAGACGGCGAAATGAACCACTATATTTCAAATGCTTGTTTTTTCTCTTAGGTAATGATGGATTGGATCATGTGCTTATTTTCTGAGGACAGTAGAGATCCTCACTCATGCACGAAGCATTTAACTTTAGAATACTTGCCAGACGCGAAAGCTCGAAAGTTATGGTCTTTCAAAATAAAATTCTAGTTTATATAGCCTTAACCTGTCCTGTATCGGGTAGGAAGGCCTAATTATTTTACATGAGCTTATAAGCTTATAAAGATCATGTATAAATGTAACCAAATTTATACACAGCACGTTGCTCATAAATTCTCGATTCCTCATTGCGGACTCCGATGCTTCCGCGGTGACATTTGTATGCATGTATGCTGTGTATAAATTTGATTAAATTCATACAAAACGTTAAAAAACCAACAAACGAACTGCGGCACTACCTCGCAGGGATGTCCATTTGTCGGGTATGGCCCAGTTCCACCGCCAAGGATTTCTCCTGCCCGAACCTTACAGGCCTTGGCAACGTCCATTAAATCATATTGCTTGAAGATAATCGGTGAACATAAATTACCTTTTGACAGCTGATACTGGGTAGTATATAATCGTGGCTGCCAACACAAGCGATTGAATTCTCACCACTTATTCCTGAAGTTGAACAAAGTGCAGGTAAATACTTTGAACAAATATTTGTTTAAATATTTGACAGTTATAAATTAAACCCACCTGATCTTGGTAAATTAAAAGGTTTTCTGGTTAAATTAGGACATTCGACAACCTTTGCGTCAACAAAGCCAAAGAATGGTTCAAGTCCACGCTTGAGTTCTAGTGGAAACTCACAATGTATTAATAGTAAATCAACCTCTAGCTATTTCGACGATATGGTCTCTCCGTACGGGAAATATGGTTGTTCGGGTCTTCTTAATCATGCAATCAAATAAAGAATTTGGATCTTTTTCGAAGCGCTTTGGAAAGGGCCCGTTCACCTGCATGATTTTAGTCAGTAACCAAGGCTATCGACTTTTGTAAAACTGCAAAAATCTAATTATGAGTTGGTAATTAGTAAAACAACAATATTTGGAACTCATGTTGGTCGTTGTTACATAGCCAGACGCTATCCCAAGGCATTTTCGAAATAATCATTTTTAAAGTGCCAAGCGAAGCATTTAAAAATTTTTAAACTGAACTAATGGATAGGTATGTCAGGGCGCCCTAAGCAATAGGCAGACCCGAAAAGCAACGACAATTATGCTGTGTTCAGTATGGGAAAAGAATTCGGTCGCCAATTATGAGACTATCTTATTTCGCACAAAATGGGTGCAGAACGGGTTGTGGCAAATCGGCGGCCGGGCGAGGGCACATGTCCGTTTTCGCGAGGGTCGTCGACCCGAGTGACAGCGGAACAATGGACATAGCGCCTTGAGCAAGGACATGTTTTTGCTAACTTTGAAGTCATCCAGTCGGCTTTAATAACTGTGCCTGACTGTGAAAATCCTTTTCTTCGAAATTTAATAGGCAACTTATTATTGAGTAGCACATAAAGTATAGGTAAGAGACAAATATCCCACAAATGCGGCAAAGACCAGCGCACAATGGAAGATGTAGGCGACGATTAAAATTCACTGAGCATGACATGTTTCCATAAAAGTTATCATATTGCTGATGGGGCGATGTCGCTCACGAAAAACCGACGATGCGAATCTTCAATTTCATGAGCTTTTACTGTATGTTCGCTCGTTTTTTATTGTGCGTTCATTAACCCTTTGTCATTTTTCGGACTACAAATGTATAAATTTACGATCGGGTGTATATGGAATGCACCATATAGAGTATAAGGCAAATGCTGTCCGGTTACCATTTGTCACATCGCGCTTCGAATTTCACGGTTCCATTCTATTGCAGATTTCATATCCAAACATTCCTAAATACATATTGCATGTTTTTTACGGTTCAAAGATTTCTGCAGACAGTGGCCTTTTGTTTCGGAGCAGTTGATCGCCTTCCGAAAATGTGACTTGGTTATTCGTCGTGACGACAAAGAATACCTGACTATTATTTTTACCTTCGCTGATCGAATGCAGGCGGACAAGGATCGGGTAAAATCGGTACCTCACTTCATGACAGGGCATCAAGTGTTAATTCTTGATGTGGTAGGATAAATGCTGCCGCCGCCGACTTCTGAGCTGCTTGACCGCTCCCAGTTAAGGTAGAGACCATTCTTCTGATCCTCTCCCCTATTTTCTGTTTTGGGAAACCTCTCGTTATCAACTATCGGTGTTTGGCAGACTGATTGGCCGTGACTAGTGGATACCGAAAGATTAAATTACTGTTTTATTGCTTATATTATGACGATATCATCTTTGGCGTTGCGGTACTCATTTAATGCGCAATTCGCTTTATTCTAGGAGAGAACGAGACCGAGCGTTCTGGGCCACCTACACGAAACGTTTGGGTGTGGAAGAGGCCAGCTTTGGGTTCATGTGAAGGTCGTAGTGGGCGCTCACTTGCTAACGTCCATTAATTTGCGCCTAACTCTCACAGGTATCTCCTCGAAGTTGTGCTTTGCCTAGATGCCATACCCCGGTAACAGCCTCGACCGGCGGGACAAACCAGATACCCGTTGGTGTATCCTCCAACACGGTACTTCTGCCTTCCCTCCTACTTCACCTCCCTCTGCTTCCTTCATCTTTCTCGCATCCCTCTTCTTCTTCTTCTTCTTCTTCTTCTTCTTCTTCTTCTTCTCCTTCTTCCTCCTCCTCCGTTTCTACTTCCCGCTCAACTCCACCCTTCTTCTCCCCTCTTTTCCACTTTCTCTTGATGGCCCATTCCGACGCAGAAAAGAACGAATTCTACTAGGACCTGCACGCCCTACTGGCGACTGAGTCGAAGTCGATTGTCCTTGGTGACTTCAGTGCCCGCATCGGCACAGACCGTACCGCTTGGCGAGGAGCGTTGGGCGCCCATGGTCTGAACGGCTCCAATGACAACGCCTGCTCCTTCTAAGAACCTGAAGCGAACACCGACTCATCCTGACCAACACTAACTTCCGCATCCCGTATTGAGAGGAGGCCATCTGGATGCACTCTCTATCGCGGCACTGTCACCTGCTTGATTCTGTTATCGTCTGGAGGCGAGATCAGCGGGACTTGTCGGCGCCAAAGGCGATCCGGGGTGTCGACGGGCGGATTAACTATCGCCTCGCCATCTTCGAGATGCGAATTCGCCTACAGCCCCACAGGAGGCCTCAAGGTAAGCGACTCCCAGGTATGCTGAATATTGCATGGTAGTCTTTTTCTGCTCACCGTCTCCATTTTAGCAATGAGCTGGCTCAACAGCTGGCCAACCCTCCAGTCGCTGCTGATGCCACCGCCGACGCGGGCGTTTCCGTGGAGAACCAGTGTTGCCAAATTAGGGACGCAGTCCAGTCAACCACCCTGTATGTCCTCGGCCGCACACATTACGATACCAGAACCAGTTCGACTACAACGATATTGCAATCGGCAGTCTTCAGCTGCGAAGAACCGGCTGTACAATGCCTACGTTAACCGCCATATTGCTTCAAGCAAAGCATCCTTCTCCAGAAGTTGCCGCCTCATGCATTAGCGGTTAAGGGGAATGCGGTACGCCTGGACGGCTTGCAAGGCCCAGGAAATCAAAAGGTTTACGGACAGCGAAAGTGGAAGAAGTTCTTCACCGCGATCAAGGCTGTCTACGGCCCCACAGGCAAAGGACCCGCCCTACTTCTTAACGCCGACGAAACCACTGTACTCATTGAAAGGATATAAATTCTAAAATGATGAAGGCAGCACTTCAGAGGCGTCCTCAACAGTCCCTCCACCATCTCGGACGCCGTCATCGACCGTCTGCTATAGGTGGAGACCAACGTCGATCTCGACCTCTCGTCCCCTCTCTACGAAACCTTCAGGACCATGCGGCGAATCTCCAGTGCTAAAGCGCCAATATCAGACGTGCCACCTACTGCGGTTCATAAGCACGGAAGCCACCAAGTCATGAATCACCTGAAAGCACTCTTCCAGAAAATGGTTCGTCAAGGAAAAATCTCTCAGGATTTCAAGGACGCCAAGAGGAAAGGGAACCGCCAATTATGCAACAACCCCTGCGGGATCTCGCTGCTCAACATCGCCGGCAAAATCTTCCTTTACGTTAACTCAACTACCTCAATAGCCATCTGAAACAGGCACTTCTGCCGGAAAGCCAGTGCGACATTCGCCGTCATCGTGGCACCGTCGACATGATTTTCGCCACCCGCCATCTACATGAGAAATATCGGTTGACGTAGATCCATTCCCATTCTGCCTTCATGAATCTGACTAAGGTCTTCGATACTGTGAATCGCGAAGGAAGTCAGAAAATCCTGCAGAATTCCGGCTGTCTCGAGAGATTCACTTAGATGACGCGCCAGCTTCACGAGAGCATGACGGCGCACGTCACGGACAATGGAGTCGTAGCAGAGGCATTCATAGTGACCAACAGAGTGAAGCAGGTCTGCGTGCTTGCGTCTATCCCTCTTTGTCTCATGTTCGCTGGTATGCTAATGAAGACCTGTCATGAAGAACGCCCTGGGATCCACGTCACCTAAAGGATGGGCGGCAGAGGACTAGCCCCCAATCAGCGGCGGTTGAACTTCCAGTCGGGTGTGTTCACAACCATTGTCCATGAATTCTCCTTCGTCGACGACTGAGCTCTAAACGCAACCACAGAAAGGGACATGCAAAGGAGCATAGATCGGCCTGACCACTCATGCAGAAGACAGTGGTTATGCACAAATCGTCACCCAAAACTGTCTGGCATGCCCCCACATCAACAGGGATGGCGTTCAAATGCAAGCCGTGGGCAGCTCCACCTAGCTCGACAGCACCCTCTCTCGCAACACCAAAATCGACGACGAAGTGGTTCGCCAGATCTCTCAAGTCAGCCATGGCTTTGGTTCCCTGCAGAATACCTTCTGAAGTCATAAAGGTGCCCACCCCATCACCAAGCTCAAGATGTACAAAGCTGTCATCCTCCCGACTTTGCTGTTTAGAGCGGAGACCTGGAAGATGTACAAGAAGCAGGCGTTTAGACACAAAACTCCCACCTCAGTTGTCTTCAACAGATACTCAAGTTAAGGTGGGAAGAACAGATCGCGGACACGGAAGTACTGGAACAGACAAAAATCCTCGATATCAACTCCATGCCGAGACAAGTGCAATTGCACTGGAGCAGCCACTTCATGAAAAATGGAAGACGAACAGCTACCCGAACGACTCGTTTATGAAGATGTCGACAGGGGTTCTTGTCGACAAGGAGGTAAAGTCCGGCGTTACAATGTCACTGTGAGAACTTCCTTAAAACGCTCGCAGATCAGCCCATCCAATTAGAAAGACGTCGTCCGGGACAGATCGGGCTGGAGAAGGACAGTGATAATGGGCACAGTGATCTACTGAGCCAACCGAATAACTGTCGCGAAAGCCGGATACAAATATCGAAAATTCCAACTGCCCCCCAACTTTTAGCCGTCCCCAACCTGCTTTGATGGGACCACGACGGGTCTTTAATAAAAATTATCTAAAAATTATATATCTATTGTCAGCGGACGTTCCAGGCGCCAATCGGTTTTATTGGACATCTTCATACCAACGGCAGCACCCGGACGACATCAAATTATATCTCCTCGACCTCATTTGTCTCCTCCTCCGCGTCAGCAATCGACCCCAACAACGCTTGTGATCCTTCATCGCCTTCCTCCACCACGTCAACATATACTGCGGAGGCTCCCAGCCCCGCGCTACTGTACACAATCGTGACGCCTTGTCAAACGTCGTCCCACCGCCCCCAACATCATGTATTTGGACTCGATTCAAACCTTTCCATATTGCGATCGCACATTCATGTCACACATCGGGGCAAAGAGCCCGTAACTCAGTGTTTAGGGGCGTTGGATTGCTAACTAACACGTCGCGAGTTCGAGTCCCAGGTACTCAACGCTTCGGGGTTGGGTATGACTGTCTGACGACGGCTAATGAGCCAGGAATGGTCGTTCCAGTCTCCCTTGTCTTTGTCGACCGTGCCGTTGGCAGCTTATTTTTGCAAACTGTTTGAGGTCTTATGTCAGCCAACATCCAGACCTCTGGGCAGTCTGGAACGTCAGAGAAGGATTGCAGCTTAGTTGTCGAGGAGGTAGGAAAAATAGTTCAACTTAACTCAACCCGCTTATACAGGATGGATGCTTCGAACCATTGGCCCCTTCCGTCCATTTTGTACTGCACGTGTTTAGGGAGGGAGAATTAGTGTGAGAAAACCGCAGTTGGCAAGTGAAAGAAACAATTTATCAAGACAACTTCACAGTTTTGTCCACGACAAACAAAAATATGCCGGGTCTTGCCTAATTTTCGGGAAAACTAATGCGCGAAATTGTAGTAAATTCTTCGGAACAGACTTTTCAAGCTCGATCTGAAAGTCTATATGAATATATGACCTGAAATGCATCAGATACCACGGAATAACCGCGTAGTACCCGCAAACCACCAACAGGCAGCCAGTAGCACACATAATATACTAGTACCATACTGACAGCGTAGGTACTGATTGCCTGTTGGCGCTTGTGAATACTACGCGGTGATTTCGGAGAAGCTGCTGGATTTAAGCTCGGATACTAAAATAAACTTTCGGACTAAGCCTGAAAAGGTCTTTTCTGAAGAATTAACTCCAACATCGAGCACCGATTTTCTCGGAACTTAACAGGGCAAGAGAAAACGGGAGTTCTTATACCAAAAAACAACAGGGAACGCTGAAGAACCCATTAATGAGTCGAACTCCTCACAGTTGCATCAGGCATCAGCAAATGATCGGCAAAACACACATGTCCGGGCATTTAGTTAGTACCTGTGCTGCCACTATAGTAACTAATTTCATAATAATTTTTCTCTTATGTTTGGCGATTTCGCCAATTAGCGACAGTTTTCAGCAATCTGTTGATATCTGCAACCGGAGGGTGCCATCGGTTACCAGTAGTAAACGTTGAAACCGGCTTGTAACATGAAAAGAAGGCACTTAGGTCCCGGGGCTGAAGCGAAAAGGTATTCATTGGTGGAAGGACAGGGGAAATGGGTATCCAACATAAAAAGCCAGACTTTAAAAGTGTTAATATGCTTTATTCATCCACTATTCCTAGTGTGGTGTTTGCGAAGAGTTTATGCGTTCATGTGAAAAGTTTCGGGGTTATTATCCTACACACTCGCCTAACCCAGTGTATAGGGCTAGTGGCCTCCCATCAGTGTGATTTTTTGCGCTTATCCTTCTATGACAAGGCCAAAATGGTTATTAATAAAATAATCCGACTTCCGAGGGCTTTTCTATAAAGTAATCCGAATTGCTGGCTAGCTAAGCGATTGGTTTGGCTTGACGAAAAATTATTGCAAACACGGAGTTTTCCACACTGCTTTCTGTGGGAAATTTTACGGAGCTACGACATTAAAAAGGGCACGCAGTTGTAGGTGCGCCAAAATAAGTTTGTTAGAGACAAAACTAGGGCATGCTCACCGAATTATCTCTGAAAGAAATCAAGAGCAATGAGCATCTGAGGGGCTATATCGGAGTGATGAGGGAAACGCCATGCTATTTGTTATAGTGTCTGCGGAAGGGCACATAGAAAGCAGCCAAAATTTGTCAAAACAAATTCTAGCTAGTCCGGGTATGGGGGAGGGAGGAATGCGCTTTAGTTCGGAAATATCCTTCACAAGTCCTTAGGTAAAACGGCCTCCGTTCAGCATGGCCAGAATAACAATTAACAAATAACAAGAAAGTAAAAGGGGTTACACAAAATTGTATTATAAAACTGTATTATAAGAACAGTTTTAGTCTCAGCTTCTCTTTACCTGTA